TTGGTTACTAACAACCTTATTTAAATTTATCGATTTTTTACTGATGGGTACGTTCGATTCCGATGATGTATTTATCTCATCGTAGATCCCTCCCCCCTTAAAAATTTTTTGAAATCCATTTTCGGTTCTAAGACCGTATTTACTTAATTGAGCACCGCTGACCTCTAACGGTCTATCATAATAGTTCCTTTCAACACACTGAGAAGCTGCGATAATTTCTTTCTGTGTAATCGTGGCACTAACGCCTTTCTTTTGCTCTTCTATTAACTTTCCTTCTCCGAATTTGCGCTCACACAAAGCTGAATGATGATGAGCTCTTCCACAATAAAGACATCTTCTTTTTTGGACATAACAGTAGCTTGCGAAGTGTCCTTTTTTAAGACACTTAAAACAAAGACTGAGTTCGCTTGCTCTGTCTTTCCGATCCTCTGCAGTCATAACACTGCTACATTCTACAGGTGTGTGTGGTCTATCGCAGAACTGACAAGGGTACTTAGTTGGGCTCCTACTTTCTGAGCTGCTTGACTCTCTTTGCGAGGAGCGGGGTCCTTTTACTGGTGGTGGTTCAATTTTCTTTAAATTTATTTTTGTTCGTTCTTCTATCGGGCTCTGAGACCCGGAATTACTTGAACTTTGCCCCACAAATTGTCTTCTATTAGTCCTTTCTTTTCTACCTCTAGAGATTTTGTTTGAGTAATTTACCGCAAAGTTCATGGTTGGCTCTTCTTTCTTGTCTCTAAGGACGGAATTGCTTTTCTGCTTTACCTCAATTTTATTTCTCACCTGAGTTATGGCCCTTCCTAACGCGTTCCTAAATTTTGCCGTGTTCCAATTGTCGTTATCTTCCGCATCTTTAATGTTGAAATATTTTCCTAAAACTTTTGCGGACATTTTTCCCTCTAATGTCATGAAATACGGAGCATCATCTATGTCCTGGTTCAAAGATTTCAACTGTCTACACAATTTTTCAATTCTCAAATAAAGCTTCTCATCTTCTTCAAAACTTTCGGAATTCGGTAAATTTAATAATTCATGGTTCAAAGACCGAATTAACTTCTTTTCGATCCCAAATTTCGCTAACAAAAGATCTATTGCCGTGTTGTAGCCTTCGTTTGTCATTTGCAGACCTCCTAACAGGTCTTTTGCTTCGTTGTCTAAAATAGATTCTAAAATATTAAATTTCTCCACATGACTCAACGAGTTGTCTTCGTGTATTAAAACACGGTAAGTTTCCCAAAAAGAACACCAATCATCTATACTACCGTCAAAGCGGCGCAATTGGATTTGTGGCCTTTGTAGTCTCTTCGTTTCTGTTCTATTTGACGTCTGTGACTCATTCGTTGATTCTTCTAAATCTATTGGTATATCCAGTCTTTTTGCCAATTTTACTCGATGTTGCTTCCAGTTGGATAGATGGGTATTTGCAGCTTCTAAAATATTCTTCACCGCTGCTTCTTTCACCCATTTACTGTATTGTGCCATTTTTTCATCCCGCACTGAGGCAGGCAATCTCTCAATCTTCTCCTTTATCTTATCATCTGCCTCCCTTATTATCATCAAGCTTTCCTCCAAATCCTTAATCGTATCCTTAGTCCAGTACAACTGCCTTCTCAACTGATTAACAGTTGCTTCAGGCCCTAAGTCCTGTGGCATTTCCCGGGCTAAACAAATCTTCAACTTCACCAACGAAGTCTCATATTTTAAATTTATGTACTCCGTCATTTTCTTTTACCTCGGAAACTAAGTTCCTTTTATTTTTATCTAAAAAATATATTTTTCCTTGAATTTGAATCTAACTCAAATTCAATTCTCCAAACAATTTAGATTAAAAAATTTTAGTTCTTTATGTTTGAATTTAATTTTTATATTAATTTTAAAAAATTAATTCTAGTTTTTTGAAAAATTTTAGAAATTTAAAAAAAAATTTTTAAATTTACTATATTTTCCAAAATAGTTGCTAATCCAGAGTAAGCCTGTGCTCGCCAGATGTCGAAAACAGAATTCGGCAGGTCCTTTTTAGCAACAATCAAGAATAATATTGAATTAATTAAATTAATTCAAATATAAAATTAAATATAAATTGGAATTCAATCCAATTAATTCCAAAGAATTAAATAAAAATAAATAATTTTTATTCCAATGTAAAACAATAAAGTTTTATTTATTAAGGTTTTTTATTAAAGTGATTGTAGAAGATATATATAATATAAAAGAAAGGATTTTATTTTATAGGAAAATAAAATTGTTCATTCATGCCACTAAGGGCGGAAGTGTTTTAATCGCTAAAGTGTGTGAAACTTAAAAGTAAGGAAGAGAAAAAATAGAAAAATGATTAATCCCTATAATCGAGGGTACAAAGAGTAAAAAATGGAAGGAAATAGAGCACGTGAAAAATATGTGAAATAAAATAAAAATTATTAATATTTTTCTAAAATGTCGAACTTCGACAATAGGGGAGAAAAAAATTTTTCCCTTTAAAATACAAATAATAGAACCTTCAATAATATGAATGTCACACTCCTTTTATTATCATTACTTAAGGGGATGGAGAACTGGCCAAAAAGTTCAAGCAAGTTTAGTTTTAAATTTTCATCTCGAGAACCTTTGGCCGGTTCCCAGTCTTTCCCACCCACGGCTGAAGCCCAACGCCGACCCGTTAAACGGGAGTTTCAAAATACGAGAGAGAAAAAAGTGCCCGGTTACTTCCTATGCTTTTCCGCCCATTTGGTGAATAAAACTCATATGAAGATTAGTCGAACAAAATGTTTTGTGGTTGGGTTAACCAAAAACTTGTTGGACTCATAGACGGACTTATTATAAAAAAAAGACAAAAAACAAACTATCGTTTTTGCGCCTTCTTCAATAGCCATATTTAGTGAATTTGTAGTAGCAAGATAAACTTTTTTGACATCAATTAATCTATTCAAATCAATTGGAGAAGGCACGATTGTATGAACAATAACTGAAAGATTAAATATGTGAAGTGAACAAATTTGGGATCAATGGCTCTATAAGGATGGGCAAATCCAGTTGGCTAGGATTTTAACGTCCAGGCAAAAATTCGTGATCCATAAAAGAAAAGTCAACGTCCACGGCAGCTAATGTTAGTCAGTAGGCAAATTAAAGCGGTAAAAGTGTTTGCTTGCTTCTACCTTAGAAAGTAGACTGGCCTGAAGTCACGCGGAAATATCGGGATATTTCAATGGACAAACAGTTACCCTACTGATTTCGGGACCTACGGCCACTGGGTCTTGGATAGTATATTGTTCAAGGAATAGTTTTTATGTTTTAAAACAAACGTAAATACGCAAGAAATTATTTTTGTTACACCAATACCGATATGTCCGAACAACCCTAATGGCTATACATTAAAAATACACTGGCCTGACTACAAAGAAGGCGTAGCGGGCAAAAAACCTCTTTTATAAAAAATTTTAAAAAACAAAAAAATACATTGAAAGTTATCGCTAGCTCCAAAAGCAGACGTCACCCTCGAAGAAGTAGGACAAGCCCCAATAAATTTAGCACAACTTTCTGCCAATTCCGGTCCAGCAAGTTGATGTATATTTTCAAAATAACCCATTCCAGTAAGAATATCAGGGCAACAAAAGTTGATAAAACAATCAGCGTGAACTTTTTCCAAGACTTCGCGACATACAATCACCTTAAAAATTTTTACGTTTGATTTAAACTATGAATTCTATAGAGTGGTATGATCTTATAATACCGAAAGCTTGAAATACCAAACCCACAAAAACGCCCGGGAACATTCCCGGAACAACATCCAACATTTTTGGCATTTCAGCTAGGAATTTCAATTAATTTTGGGGGTTGGTATTTCAAGCTGTTGGTAATATAAGACGTTACGATGAGTTTATGAGATCGATCAAGAGTTTATGCGTCGGGCCGGCACAATGAAAATGAGGTCCGAAAAAATGACTCAAACGTCGGCCCGACTCGAGAACGGCAACCCTATTCATGACTCATAAATCTTGGGGCGACCAATAACCTTTGAATGGACTCATAAACTAAATAGGAGCCAACCCGTTTTACAAAAAATTAAAAAAACCTTTTCTTTAAACAATGAGCGTTTTGTAATTGCAGGTCTTGATGGAATTGTAGAAGACATTTTATAATAGCTAGCATAAAATAATTTTTTAAAAATCTGAAAAATTAGAAAATTCTTAATAGGATCGAGTTTTTGAGAGAAGAAAATGTGGACAACTTGCGCGCAAACAAGTCCATAGCCCCCTCTTGCCTGTCTTTCATACAGTTTATCCCGCTAATAAACTGTGCCATTCATTAAATAATTTCCAAAAATAAGCCTAAAAGTCCGCAAATTTTTGTCCGCAAGAAAAGTCCGCAAATTTTGTCCGCAAGAAAAAGTCCGCAAATTTTGTCCGCAAGAAAAGTCCGCAAATTTTGTCCGCAAGAATAATCCGCAAACAAGTAACAAACAAAAATATTTAAAAAAATATTATAAAGTTTAAAAACAAATAGTGAACAAAATTTAAAAAAAAAGTAAGAAAATATTTATTGCAAACAACCCAAAAAAAAATAAATTATAAATGTAAAATAAGTTTTTTTTTGTTTAAATTTAAATAAATAAATAAATGTGCGTGTGTATGTATTACACATCAGCAGAAAAAATTTACACTTTTTTTAGGAAATAGAACCAAATTAAATTTTTATTTAAGACAAAAATTTAGTAAGAGAGAGGTAAAAGTTTAGCACCCAAAAACAGGTCTCGATCCTGCGACTTCCTAGGCAGTTTATTGTAAGCGCCTTCACTCACCACTAAGGTTAAAGGCCCGATCCGGTCCAGTCCGAAAGATCGAGTCGAGCATCGAATTTTGGCCCGAAAAAGACTCGGTCGGGCCGGCCCGATAAAAATAAGGCCCGAAAAATGACTCGAACGTCGGCCCGACTCGAAAACCCCAACGCTACTCACCACGTTCTCTTTTAATAGATCTTAAACGCTCCGCCTAGTAAGCGTTTTAAATGCTAGCCAATCTTCCTGAATATTTTTTGGAATTTTCAATGGAATAAGAAATCTCGAAATTTTTTTATCAGGCCAAGTTCGCAAATTTTGTCCGCAAAATTTATTAAAAAATCCGAAAACCAGACGAAAACAAAAACAGCTTCTAAACACTATGAGTGCTCCAGATAGGTCCCAGAAGACCTAATCCCAAACTTAAATCCAAAAATGGGATATTATTTGACAAAAAATATAGGGAAAACAGGGTCGTCAATTCCCAGAAAAGTGCAAATTTTTATAATTATACCATATTTAAATAAAAAAATTCCTCTCATTTCTTCCCAACATATTCAGAACGACGACTAACCGCAATACCACGAACAGCATGAGAAACCGAAAAACTTGGACGATTTGGAGATTCCGGCATAAGACTACGACGTTGAACAGAATTACCAAAACGCATAGGAGGCTGAACTAGTTTTGGTTTGGTGTCAAAAATTGATGAAGAAGAAACTGGTTTTGGAGTTGTTGGTGGTGGTTTGGACCTAAAATGAATTCATTTTTAAATATTTTTTGGAGAGTCAATAAACACGGAGCACGTAAAAAATAAGTCAAATAATAAGAAAAAGGGACCAAAATGGTCAAAAATAAAATTTGGTAAAATCTGACGAAATTTCTGTCGAATTTTGATATGTAAGATACAGGGTGATGTTAACGCTCCAACTGGAGAGCTCAACTTGATTACCGACCCCAATAAGCTCTAATTGGAAACAATTCAAAAAAAAAACAAACTCAGGCATAACACTGCGACGTTGAGCAGTATTACCAAAACGCATAGGAGGTTGAACTACCACAGGTTTGGAACCAAAGACAGATTTAGGTTTTGGAGTTGATGGTTTAGAACTAGAAATAATTATTAGATGATAATTTTGGAAAATCAAATACGGAACAGAATTTAAAATAAACACACGGCTTCTATCCCCCAATAGAATAATGCCACCTATTTAAATGGTATAAAATAGTAATCGACCTGGTCTGGACCGAGGCCTGGGTTTTTCATGTACACAGAGTCCAGGCATTTTTTGACCCTACTGGGTTTTTCCTGGGCCTGGGTTTTCCTGGACTACAGGCCCAGGATCCGGCCCAAGTCGATAAATCAAACCCGGAACCCGAGAACAGGCCCAGGCTTCTCAAAAATCTCGATCACTAACGACATGACTAACTACCGAGGGCTTCGAACCTGAATGTAAGTATTCCGTAAGTCAGTAGCAAGTCGGGTGTGTTATCCAAAAAAGTCTTATTGAAAATTTCCCTAATAACCCCAAAATTCCAAAAACAAACTCAGGCAAAACACTTCGACGTTGAACAGAATTACCAAAACGCATAGGAGGTTGAGCAGCAATAGGCGGTTTGGAGCCAAAAACAGAAGAAGATGAACGTTTTGGAGTTGATGGTTTGGATCTTTAAAAATTTTAATTTAAGAAAAAAGAAAAAAAGCAATACAATGTCTTTGCAGCCTCCACTGGTTTAATATTTTCACGATTAAGTGTAAGAACTAAAAATAAATATAAAAAGTAAATAAAAACGAGTAGTGGGTAAAAGATCAATTTTTCAGTCTTTTCCTCCTTATTGTTAATAAAGTTGACAGGATCATACCGAACCGAGAAACCTGAGGTTTATGGTTCTGTATCGGTAACCGACCACAAAATGTGGTGAACGAAAGCAACTAGCAAAAACTATGAGGAGGTCGCGGGATCGAACACGCTTGTGGATAAACTTTTATGCTTCTTACTTCCTAACAAAAAGGGATCAAATAAGTAGAAACGATTATTTTGGAGGGTGGAGGAATAAATACGAGCAGTGGGTAAAGGATCAATTTCGATAGTCTTTTCCTCCTTAATAGAATTGACGGGATCATAACGACACAAAAAACCTAAAATCTAAGGTTCGGAATGTCGGTTACTCTACAAACTATTCGTGAACCAAAACACATAAAAACAACTGAAAGAAGGTCGCTGGATCGGTCCTGCTCGTGGATAAACTTCTATCCCCCATACTATCTAACAAAGAAGCAGAGGTGGGTTGGAACAGTCAGAGGTGTCGGAAATCGGAAGAGCCGAAAATCGGAACTGGCTCAAAAGTCGGAACTCGGAAATCAAATTCTTTTCGGAAATCGGAAGGAAAAAACGTCGAAGTCCGACATAACTCAGAAAAGGATTATAAGTAGAAAAAATTATTTTGGAGGGTGACTTGCTGTTTTAATAGCATAAAGGAAAAGAACTCCCAAATTAATGTACCATCCCAAAAACTCATATTAAACATTAAAAATAAACAAACTTTCAAACAAACCGTCCCCAAGTGTATCATTCATTTCATCAACTCCCAATTGTTTATAGCGTGGCACGGTCGGAATAAAAAACTCATCCAAATTTTGAGAATTTGAAGACATTTTAAATTTTTTTTGTAAAGAAAGTTTTTTTAAATCTAAAAATAAAAGTTTTCGATTCGGCTTAATGGTTAGTAGAGATCGAGATTTTTAAAAAGCCTGGGCCTGTCTTTAACTCTGGGGTTTGATTTATTGACCTAGGCAGTATGATGGACTTGTAGTCCAGGAAAAACACTGGCACGGGAAAACCCCAAGAAAGACCAAAAATGCCTGAGCCTGGTCTGGGTACGGAAAAACCCAGGCCCAGACTAGAGACCGGCGCGGGACGGGATCCCGCGCGGGATTTTGCGGGGTCCCGCTCCCGCAATCCCGCACTTTTTTCGATTTGCGGGATTTTGCGGGATGCGGGATTTTGCGGGATTTTTCCCGCGGGATCCCGTCCCGCAAAGATTTTTTTAAAAAATCCCGCATGCGGGTTCCCGCAAACACAATTTTGCCGGTCTCTAGCCCAGACCCAGCTCGATCACTAATAGTTAGTCAGCAACATAATTTTATGAAACCGACAAATTTATATAAAAAAATCAATGCGCTAGGAGACATAATTCGTTTAAACATCATAAAATAGAAGCGGAATTTGACAACCGCAGCTGAAAACAAAATTCGAAAAATTAAAAAATTTGTATATTTCTTATTGAAGAGAAATAGTATTGAAAAAAGAGAGATTTGGGCGTGCCCGCACAAAATACCGAATTCTCAAAATCGCGAATAGGCTAAAAAAGCTCAAAATCGCGAATCGGTAAAAATATCTCAAAATATGGAATCGGCCAAAAAAGCTCAAAATATGGAATCTTAAAATATCGAATCTCAAAATCGCGAATCGGCCAAAAAAGCTCAAAATACCGAATCGGCTAAAAAGTAGTTAAAAATGTCGAATTTTTTAAAAACGAAAAGGGCCGTTTGAGTGCCGCTGCAGGTCTTTTTCTGATTATTCAGGGATCTGTAACTCAGTCCAATCAGGTCGGATTTCATTGATTTTGGTATCATTCGATGCAGCTCGACGTGCTCTTTCAGATGAGCTATCATTCGGAAACTCGAAATTCGGTTCGGGATTCGAAATTCGGTTCGGGTCCGGGATTCGACTTTTTCAAAATCCGAGCTGAGATTCGTAATCAGCACATTTTTTTACCTTAGAAAAATACTTTCTCTTATTTTTAAAATTTTTTTACGAAGAAGTTGGTCACAACTTTGTTCAGACTCAACTGGCCTTTGCCGCATTGTCGATATTTTTCGATATTTTGAGCTTTTTTTGCCTATTCCATATTTTGAGATTCGATATTTTGAGATTCCATATTTTGAGCTTTTTTAGCCGATTCGCGATTTTGAGATTCCATATTTTAAGAATTCGGTATTTTGTATGGGAGCCGATTTGGGACATAATTTCACGGAGCAGTTCAACTGAGTCCGCACGATTGAGTCCCGACGATTGAGTCCGCACGATTGAGTCCCCACGATTGAGTCCCGGCACAATTGAGTCCCCACGATTGAGTCCGCACGATTGAGTCCCCCTTGTATATACCTCAATTGAGTCCCCGTGGATTTAATAAGTTTAAAATTTCCATATCCGGCATGCGGGATTATTCCAAAGTTTCTATTTTTTAAATATAAATGCCGGACAGACGACCTGTGCACCCCTGCTGCACCCCACATACCCTCCGTAGCAGCACAAAACAGTTTTCCAGCGCAGATTCAGTTGGTCATAACTTTGTTCAGAATCATTGAATCAAGCTGATTTTGATGTCATTCGACTCTGCTCGTCGAGCCCTTTCGAATGAGGTATAATTTAATATTCGAATTTTTTGTCCCCAAAAATTCCCCCGTGGATTTGACCATTTCGAGCCCCATATCTCGGCGAGAACCATGTTGATTTTTGTGTATTCGACTCAGCTCATTCGAACGAGCTGTCATTCAAAAAATCTCTCGATATCCCTCCTAATCCCCAAATCCACAATATCCACCCATATCCCCCTTAATCGCTTAAATCTACTTATATCTCTTAATATTCACCGATATCCAACTTGATCCCTCGATGTCACATACAGGTCCCCTGATGTTCACTTTAATCCCCCAAATCCCCAGATATCCCTCTTAATCCTTTTTAATATAATTAAATCCACGGGGACTCAATTGAGGTATATACAAAGGGGACTCAATCGTGCGGACTCAATCGTGGGGACTCAATTGTGCCGGGACTCAATCGTGGGGACTCAATCGTGCGGACTCAATCGTGGGGACTCAATCGTGCGGACTCAATTGAGGTGTACCGATAATTTCATTTTCATAAAAAATAAACATAATGCCAAATAAATAAATAAATTAATTAAAAACGCTCCAATTTTGAATGTCAGAGGCGAACAGAAGACCATCTTTGGGCCATAACTTTTTAAATTTTTCAACCAAACGAGATAATTTTTATATCAATCGAAAGCTCTTGATGTGCAGATTCTTTTTCTTAATAATTTTGTTTTTATCAAATGATCCCCTACAAAGTTAGAGCTGAATAACCATATAAAATCACGGTTGTCCACACTTTAACGGCTGTAACTTTTTAACAGATGCTCAGATCAAATCGATCTTGTTATAAAAAATGATCAGCACATCCAGAGCTTTCGTTATATATAGATTAAGTAGAAAGCTGGTGGATTTTAAAAGAAATGGGTCATAAAGTGCTTAGAGACTAGAAGTGGAGGATGTGTTGTTTATTCTCTCCGAACAGACAAAATTAAAAAATAATAAAACACAATATTAAAAATAGATCCTGCTTATAAAGGCTTTCGAATGATATATACCCATTCAGATTGGATTAAAAACAAAAAAGTTGTGGCCGATCAAATATTAGAGATCGGCCAAACAAATATTTGGTCAAATAAAATCAAATATTTGATCAAATTTTATTTGATTTTATTTGATCAAATATTTGTTTGACGAGTTTTTGGAAAAATTTGATTTTTTCAAATATCAAATAATTTTCAAATAATTTGATCAAATATTTGTTTGATGAAGGTCAAAAAAATCAAATATTTGATCAAATATCAAATAATTTGAAAAAAATTTGATTTTTGTTTGAAAATGTAAAGTTGGCATAATGTTTAATATTTTTCCTATAAATAAGCATAAATAACTTTATCTTTATCTTATTATTTTCCCTTGAGAAATTTTTTTAAATATAAGATAACTTTAAACCCCGATTCCCTTTTTTAATCACGATTACCAAAATATAAATTTAATTTTTAACAACATGTTTCTTAGCATGCCTTCAATTATTTGGCAAATTGGACTGTATAGAAAAGTGGAAGGAACTGAAGGAGTAGAGTGTAAATTATGTTTAGAAAATGGCAAAAAGAAGACCACTTTAAGTACAAAAAATTCCGCAACCTCTAATCTTATAGCACATCTCAAATCAGCACACAAGGAAACAGAATTTTATGAAAAATATTGTTCATTGGAAAATTTAAACAAAAAAGATCAAACAGGCCCAATGGATAAACATTTAACAATAAATGCCAGCGGTTTGTGTTGTTCTAAGATTTTTTATTATTTTTTATAGGTGGACTTTCATCTATGGACAAGAAAATAATTAATTGGATTGCATCAACTCAACAATCATTCCTCGTTATTAATCATATAACTACACACCATATTTTTAATTTTTCAAATACGCTTTCTAAGCTTCATGACGAATCTTATTATCGGAAGCATGCTCTCCCGTCTGCCTACTTACTGGTCAAAAATAAAATAAAAAAAGAGTTAGAAGATTGCCCCAAGCTTTCCTTTACCACCGACATTTGGTCTAATGGAATTGAATCCTTTATTAGGTTATTTTACTTTCAGTTTTTTACTTAAATTCTATAGTTTAACTGGCCATGGAATTGGGACAGGATTCCACCGCAAAAGTTTTGTTTTATCGGTTTCGCAATTTCCCGGCTCTCACACTGGCGAACGAATTGCTACAAAACTTCGCGAGATTTTAGATGATTGGAAAATTCCGAAGGAGAAATGCTTTTCTTTCATTAGAGATGGAGCGAGTAATTTCAAGAAAGTATTTTTTATTTTTAAATTTATTTTTACAAAATTAAAATTAAGGCATTTTCCGATGAAAAATTCAACCCGGAGCATTTTTCTGACGCAGATTGCGCCGCTCATCTTTTAAACTTAGTAGTACGAGGAGCTCTTGATCAAAATAATAATATCAAGGAGCTATTGTCAAAATGTAGAGAAATTGTCGGTTATTACTAGGGCTGGGAAAAATATGCACGCAAATCGCAAAATATGCGCATATATATGCACCGAAAACGCCCAAAATATGCACCATAATATGCAAAATTTGCCAAAATATGCAATAAATATGCAGCAAAAAATGGCGAAAATTTACATTAAAAATCAATTTTTTATCTAGAAAACACTATTTTGGCCTTTAAAATTTAAATTTAAGATCATTTCTATAAGATTTTATGGACTTTAAATATTCGCAGAAAAAAATTTTTGAAAAAAATTTTTTCTCAAAAAATTTCTAGAAAAATTTTTTTCAAAAAATTTTTATTAAAAATTTTTTGACAAAAAGTTCCGAAAATTTTTAAAATTTTGACCAATTTTTATAAAATTTAGCAAAAAATGCCAAAATATGCTCAAATTTAGGTAAAAATATGCAAAATTGTCCAAAATATGCACAGATATGCAAATATGCACGAGAGGGCCGAAATATGCAAAAATATGCATTAAGAACCGGGTCCCAAAGTGCTCGGACCAATGTAAAAATACCATTTTTGGGCTTCTCTCATCAAGGCATATCCGCATACAAAACATGCATTTGCATGTTTTTCCCAGCCCTAGTTATTACAAAAGATCAATGGTTGCGAATGGGAAATTGAGAGAAATTCAGAATGAGACGGAATTGCCTAATCATACATTGTTGCAGGTTTTTTTATTTGAATAACATTTCTATTGATTTTTACTAAGGATGTTATTACAAGATGGAATGGTTGTTATCGAATGTTGGAGCGCCTATCTGAGCAGCAATCTGCTGTTGAAGAATATGCATTCAGAAAGAGAGATTCTTCTCTTTCCCTAGATGATTCCTGGCCAAAAGTTCAAGAATTGATTAAAATTCTTAAACCCTTGGATGAATTAACACGCTTATTTTGCCTTCCAACATCCTCTATTGGAGTAAAATATGCATTTGCAAAGATGACTGAACAAAATCTATCAAAAATTGAAATTGGCGATAGTGATGTATTGGAGGTTAGAAAAATAATCACTAATGGACTTATGGAAAAATTCAATGCGATGAAGAATTACAGGTTTTATTTAGGTTTATTCAAATTTATTTAATTAAATATAGAACACATATGGTTGCTCAATATCTCGATCCTCGATTGAAAGACAAAATTGCAGATTTTCCAGAATATTTTAGGTTCTTTTTTGCGTTTTATATCTAAAAATTTTGAAATATAGACGTGATGTTTTTTCGTATCTTGATGTTCCTGATAGAAACGCCACACTTGATCCTGTTCAAATTATAGAAGAGCCTCGGCCAAAAAAATCACGAGGACTTCTGGACCATTTTAGTCAATCCCTCGAAGGAGTTTCTACAAGTGAATCTGGGAAAAACGGAGGTTTGTAAGATAAAGTTTATCTTGTGTTACTATGATTTAAGGTCTTATGCATGAAATGTCTTGTTATTCTGCTGTGAACTTAACCGATGTAGGCTCAGATCCTTTGGAATTTTGGAAGGAGAATTCTGCAAAATTTCCTATTTTATCGAGAGAAGCGATGACTTACTTATCACCACCGGCAACTAGTGTCCACAGCGAAGAACTATTTTCTACAGCTCGAGATACGTATAACTACCGTCGTTCTCGTTTGCGCCCTCGTAAGGCAGAAATGCTTATATTTCTTAATCGATCTCTCCCAATGATACATTACAAATATTGATTAATAAATGTTATTTAGCCATTATTATGTTGATTATTCTTTGATAATAAAATTTATAGATTATTCCAAAATTTTTTAAAAAAATTTGATATTTGACCAAATATTTGACATTTTTGATCAAATTTTTTCAAATATCAAATAAAAATCAAATAATTTGATCAAATATTTGTTTGACCACTTTTGGAAAAAATCAAATCAAATAAATGTCAAATTATTTGATCAAATATTTGATTTTGCCGTCCGGCCGATCTCTATCAAATATGCCAGGGGTGGTCTCCCACAAGCCCTTAAGTCTCCCCATTCAAGGAGAATTCTCCTCAATTAATTTTTAATCTATTTTATATCTGTTATTTTTGCAAAAATAATGCCATTTTTATTTTTAAAAATATTCCCCAGCAAAATACAATTTTGCAAAATTCCCCGAATTAATTGGAAACAAAATCTGTGTGGGTAGATTAACACACCCATTTTCCAGTACAAATTAAAACAAAAATTTTTTTTCTGTCGCTAATGACAACACCCAACTTAAAAAAATTTTTTTTTTAATTTTTGTATTTTAAAAAGCGAACTTTTATTAAATCTTTAAGCAAACATAACGAATTTTAAATTGAGGGAATATAATTAAAAATTAAAAATGAAACATTCACACGACACATTTTTTCTCTCTCCTTTTTCCCCCTATAATTAAATAAACTTTTAATTTAAAGTTTATTTTATTTAAATTTTTTTCCTCAAAGAAAATTCTTTTAATTTTTACCTTTCATTTTTAAAATTAAATAAAGTACTTCCTTTGAGTTCTTTTCCCTTGAAATTCTCAGAAATTAGCAATTCTCCCCAGCATTCTCCCCAGCAATTCTCAATTCTCCCCAGCAATCCCCTGTGTAATCCTCCTAAACTTCCGTTGAAAATTGCTAGGAATACGCCACACAAATTGTCGGTATTAATCAAAAATAGACCGAATTCTCTTATGATGATTCTATCCGGTATAGGTGAGAAAATGTGTGACAAGTGGGATAAGGAGGAGATTTTTTCTGGGAAACAAAACAAGCTGTGATAAGTCGGGGATTGTGAAAAGAACAAAAAATCTCTGACTTACCCACACCCTTGGATAATACTCGACATTTTATTTTTTAGAAAAAATCATATAGAAGGTAGACTAATCAATTTATTGGGCTGCTTCATTTACCCAATTTTAATCCATAACTGTCCTTTTTTTTATTTTTATTAGCTAGCTAGCTATTTATTTAGTTGTTTAAAATGGCTTTTTTGAAACAATCTCTAACAAAAAATTTTTAAAATAAAATTAGGGGGACATAATCTCCAACCATAATGTTGCCCATGAGTTCGTCGTTCCTTTCACACTACTACTGTTCCCTTCGCTTTACTGTCACTTTGTCCCTACTTGGTCTCCTCGCACTAATGGTCCCTTCATACTACTGGGCCCTTCACTCTACTGTTCCTTTATCCCTACTTGGTCTCCTCGCACTACTGTTCCGTTTATACTACTAGGCTATAGTATTGTTCCCGTCAACTTTATTCCCTTCACACTACATACAGGCCCCTTCGCTTTACTGTTCGATCAACCCCTCATAACGAAAAATTTTGACAATTCAATCTTTTTCAGCAACCTTAAAATGACCGTATCTTCGGATCTACATAGATCATCCAAGTCTTCTTTAGACGCCCTTCTGCTACACAAAACAGATTGGCGTTCCATCTACTTTATTACCTCTGTTGCAATGATGGATTCTATGCGTATTTCTACAGTTTTGTCCAATAGTTGGCCATATATTTCAAGCCTCGATCCTGATGTAACTGAAAATTTCAATGGATTGGGTGTTTCTGTGTATACTTTAGGTGAGGACTTTGGGATTCAACCCTTCACTAATGTGTCTACTTCACCCTATGTTCCCTTCACCCTACTGCCACTATGTTCCCTTCACCCTACTGCCACTATGTTCCCTTCACCCTACTGCCACTATGTTCCCTTCAACCTACTGCCAATATTTTCCCTTCACCCTACTACCACATATTCCCTTCGCCCTACTGTCACTTAGTTCCTTTCACCCCACTGCCACTATGTTCCCTTCACCCTACTGTCACCTAGTTCCCTTCACCCTACTGCCACTATGTATGTTCCCTTCACCTTACTTTCCCGTCACTCGACTGTTCCCTTCGCACTACCTTTAACCCTTCCCATTCTTCATTAACTAATTAACCTAGGAGCTGCACTTGCTTCACTTCTTGCTGGTTGGATCAGCAACAAGTTATCGCATACAAGGTGGGGAACTTGGTTTTACATTTGAAATATATTTCAACTTTTAGACCCCCCATTATGGCCGGTCAGATAATCGCAATAGTCTCAACTTTACTTTATGCCAATTTGGAATTGATTCCTTACAACCGCCGCTATGGGTTTTTTGTTTGCCAAGTTCTTTTAGGAATTTCTAATGGTTAGATTGATAATTTAACCTCCAAATCCCCTCATTAAGGTGCTATACAAACATGGAGAGTTCATGTAGCTATGTCCAGCACGGATCATGACCGTTCTAAAGCAAACTCGATAATTGGCTTTTCATTAAATATTGGATTTATTCTTGGACCTTGTAATTTTATTCTTTTAAAGGAATTTTATCCTGAAGATCAACAACTCTTCCTATGGACTACCACGAATATTCTCCTCAGATTGTTCTCTTCGGGCTAACCCTAATGTTCTCTTTGGACTACCCCTCATATGTTCCCTTCGGACTATCCCTTGTATGTTCCCTTCGGACTATCCCTTGTATGTTCCCTTCGGACTATCCTTTATATGTTCCTTTCGGACTACCCCTAATGTTCTCTTCGGACTTTCTATTATATGTTCCCTTTGGACTATCCCTTATATGTTCCCTTCGGACTATCCCTTATATGTTCCCTTCGGACTATCCCTTATATGTTCCCTTCGGACTATCCCTTATATGTTCCCTTCGGACTATCTCTTATATGTTCCCTTCGGACTATCTCTTATATGTTCCCTTCGGACTATTTTCCCTTCGGAATGTTCCCTTCGGACTACTTCTACTGTACCTTTTAGGCTAGCCTTAATGTTCCATTAGTTCTACCTCTATTAATCCATTCGGATTACCTAATACTCTCCGATCTAGTGATGGTCAAGAGTTGATCTTCTTGGTCAAATTAATTTTTCAACGTTTTTCTCTACAGTGACAGTAATGCTTTTTACCCGCCTGCTCTCAACTTCGATTATACTTCCTTGGGGTGTACAATTGAGTATATACACTGCTCCCATGTATTTTATGGCCTTTATGTCAATTATTGGATTAATTCTGATAATTATTGGTTTTGATGGCAAAATGGATAAGCCACACAAACCACACGGAGACGAGGATAATGGAGTATCTAATAATTGTGATCAGAAATGGGCGATCAAAAGCAAAGTTCAGCTTGGTACTTCGCCTATAGATGCCGAAAAGGCGCATTTGGAGATTGTTCCTTCGAGTGACGGTGAATATTTATTTTCAAGGACTGTTTAAAATTTTCATTTAAGACACTCCCAAAGTTGAAAAACCAAAAGCTTTTCAATTTGATTGGGTTGCTATACTTGCTTGTATTGTTGCACGCCTTTGTATTTGTTTTCTGATTTTATACCTTACGGCATTGGCTGTGCCCTACTCAATGACTACTTTTGGATGGAGTGGAGAACAAATGGTAGCTTTTATTCTGACATTCTGGTTTTTTATTCTGACATTCTGGTTTTTTATTCTGACATTCTGATTTATATTCTGATTTTGTTCTGAAGTTCTGGTTTTTATTCTGATTTTATTCTGACATTCTGATTTTTATTATGATTTTATTCTGACATTCTGATTTTTATTCTGATTTTATTCTGCCATTCTGATTTTTATTCTGATTTTGTTCTGAAGTTCTGGTTTTTATTCTGATTTTATTCTGACATTCTGATTTTTATTATGATTTTATTCTGACATTCTGATTTTTATTATGATTTTATTCTGACATTCTGATTTTTATTCTGATTTTATTCTGCCATTCTGATTTTTATGCTGATTTTGTTCTGAAGTTCTGGTTTTTATTCTGATTTTATTCTGACATTCTGATTTATATTCTGATTTTGTTCTGAAGTTCTGGTTTTTATTCTGATTTTATTCTGACATTCTGATTTTTATTATGATTTTATTCTGACATTCTGATTTTTATTCTGATTTTATTCTGCCATTCTGATTTTTATTCTGATTTTGTTCTGAAGTTCTGGTTTTTATTCTGATTTTATTCTGACATTCTGATTTTTATTATGATTTTATTCTGACATTCTGGTTTTTATTATGATTTTATTCTGACATTCTGATTTTTATTCTGATTTTGTTCTTAAGTTCTGGTTTTTATTCTGATTTTTATTCTGATTTCATTCTGATTTTTATGCTGAGATTCTGGTTAATATTCTGATTTTTTATTCTGACATTCTGATTTTTATTCTGATTTTCCCCCCTTTTTCATGTCTTCAACCACATGCTAATTCAATTCTCCCTTGGTATTATGGGCCTCTTTATCTGCTTGGGCTATGCATTTCGACTCCTCTCACATCTAGATGAACGTCGTTGTATTACATTTGCATTATCCGTAATGCTCACATTTTTCCTTTTAACGTATCCATGGCCTTTTCTAACTTCTCAAATGCCTCTTCCAACATTTGCGAATGAAACTTTGGGTATAAATTATTTGGGAAAATTTTTCAAGATTTAAAAATTAATTTTTAGCAAATTCTACAGTAGTACAGACTGTTTTAACGCAAGGATGTTCTCCTCAAAAATATGACTGGTGTTTAACTACGCCGGTAAGCTTGTAGAATTTCTCGTTTTCAAAAAATTCTGATTTTTATAAAATTCTGATTTTTAAAAAATTCTGGTTTTAGTAAAATTCTGATTTTTACAAAATTTCTGATTTTCACAAAATTCTGATTTTTATAAAATTCTGATTTTTATAAAATTCTGATTTTCACAAAATTCTGATTTTTACAAAATTCTGATTTTTAAAAAATTCTGATTTTAACAAAATTCTGATTCTTAAAAATTCTGATTTAAAAAAATTCTGATTTTTATAAAATTCTGGTTTTTATAAAATTCTGGTTTTTGTAAAATTCTGATTTCCCAAATTCTCTCATAAAATACACAGGCTATCAACGTCTACGTTTACCATGCAGCTTTAGTCTTTACAATGGGGTTTGTTATGCCTGTGGGCAACATAAATTTGGATGTTCTTTATTCTCGACTTTTGGGCCCAATAAAACAGGGAACAATGCAAGGAGTTTTTGTTGCTGTAAGCGATATGGTTGGATTTGCTGGGCCTGTTATTGTGACGTAAATAATTTAATCAAATTTAAAGGAGGAACTCGAAGCAGACTAAACTTGACTATAATTTATTCACTGGGTTTGAACCGAACCAGAAGCCGAAATTTGGAGTTCTAGTGAAATCCCGACGTACATATTAATTCGAAATCCGAATTTATTCGAAATTACTCGAAACACGAAATTACGCGAAACTCGAAATTATTTTGAACTCGAAATTACGCGAAACTCAAAATTATTCTAAACTCGAAATTACTCGAAATATGAAATTACGCGAAACACGAAATTACGCGAACTCGAAATTACTCGAAATACGAAATTACGCGAAACACGAAATTACTCGAAAAACTCGAAAACACTCGAAAGTTTTTAATCAGAGGATTACTGTAGAGTACATTCTCTCATTATTTTTAATTTCAGGAGCGTTTATCAATGGGGAGGTCCAAAACCTGTATGGGCTGCAATCATTGCCCTTATTGGATCAGGTATTGCTTTCTGGGTTTATTGTTATCATCGTCTGGTGCCAAAATACAGAACAGTTCAGGCTATTGATAAAGATAAAAAGAAACACTTATCTTAAAAATTCTTAAATTGTGAAAATAGTCAGGCTTCGAAAACAAGAAATGATACGAAATTCGAAACATGTCGAAACTCGAAATTTCGAAAATAAAACTCGAAATTTCGTAAACGAAACTCGAAATTTCGAAAACAAATTTCGCACCTTTTAATTTGTATTTTAAAATTAGTCAAACTTTAAAACACGAAATACATATTTCCGAAACTCGAAGCATTTCGAAATCGAAAATAAATTTCGAAATCGAAACTCGAAATTTTTACATTAATCTTTTTTGTTAACAAAATGTACGTATTTTTTTAAATTTTTTTGTGTTTTTCTCCATTCCTTTGTGTTTTTTGTATTTCCTATATTTCTGTATTTTAATTTTTGTATTTTTTTTCTTCAATTTATTCAAGTAAAACCTACCATTTTATAAATTTATTAAAAAAAAGCATGAATTAATTTTTTTAATTTTAATTTATTTTGGTAATAATCCTGGAACGGAAAAATACATATTATTTAATCAAAATTTCTTCCCAATATTTTTTTTATTTATTTTTATTAATGAAAAATAACCATTTCAAGTTGTTCTAAACTTGTATACCCCTCCTGTGCGCCAAAAAATTTTTTTCCGCCAGAAAACCAAAAAACGCCATTTTGGCGTTTTTTGCGCACACCCTCGAGAAATTATTTTTATTAATGAAAAATAACTATTCCATGCTGTTCTAGACTTGGATTCCTCTTCTGTGCGCCAAAAAATTTTTTGCGCGAAAAAACCTAAAGACGCCATTTTGGCGTTATTTGCGCACACCCTTGAAAAAATTTTTTTTTGCAAGAAAAATAAAATTAATAAATTTAAACAAGCCAATAATAACAAAAAATTTTATTTATTATTATTTTTTTCAAAATTTTTGTGTGCAATGTTGCTGGAACGAGTAAAAACAAGAAGGCAAAGATTAGAAACGGGGAGAATATTAAATAATGTTTTTTTTGTTTCGCTAAGGGGGGGAATGAATGAATGTTTTTATTAAATTTTTTTTGCATATAATGAATGCCCAAAAAATTTTTTTTTGTTTTTTTTTAATTTAAAGTGTTCAACAAGTGTAACAGAAAAATATTTTTTTAAATTTATTTTTATGCATATCACATTATTTTTCTTTTATTTTATAAAATTTCTTAAATAAATATGGTAGCCTAGCAGTTTAATTTCTTCCCCCACAAATTCTACTCAATATGAATTAGTTTAAATTTATTTTCTAAATTTTGTTAATGTCTTAATTTAATGTTTTACTAATTTAAATGAGTAAAAAATGCGAAAAAAATATTTTTTCTGAGGAAATTTAATTAAAAATGGGAGTGGACTCTTTAGAGGCAGTACACGTCAGATAAAAATTTTTGTAAAAATGTTTAAAGAGCACTTTGAAATGTGAAATTTTGTGGTTATATTCTTTAAAGTGTTAGCTAGTTTGGTGTAAAATTTTATAATTTTTGGGGCAGTTTAACCTTAGTTATGGGCAGAAATGTTGGCATAGGTCTACTCAAAATGTTGACTAGCGGCATTTATTCTTCAACATTTTAATTTCAAAGCTAAGATTTTGGCAATCTTTTTTTGCTTTCTAATTCAGATTTTTAAGGGCTTTCGAATGATATATTACTTGCCATATGAATTCTGACCATTTTGAGAACACTTTCATGTTTGACATTATGAACCCCTGACCATTTATTTTTTGCCATTTTGAAATTTAAATTTTTTTAATTTTAAAATTGATTAAATAACTGTTAGTAAACCACTTTCACAAAATTTTACGTCTCTTTGTTTTCATTGAACAATTTTAAAATTCTTTTAAATGACCTCGGTCTTCGTCAAACTTAATAATAAAAATAAAATTTCATATTCAAAAATTCTTTCAAATTTTTCATTAATATTCCTTTATAAAATATTTTATTCATTTTTATAGGCAAAAAACTCATTTAACCCCCTTTTTACTAAAAATCCCCATTTAGTCGCTTATATAGACCAAAACCTCTATATAGTGAACTTGTCGCCTATATCGGGGTTTACTATATAGAGGTTTTTAAAGACATGTCAGAAACTCGATTAGTTATATGGCTAGCTTGTGGCAGTTCTTTATTAGCCGTTTTAGCTACTATTCTTGGCATTTCGCACATTTATTCCGACTTCTCTCATCTTACACTGCGCATTCGTGGAGGAGTACAGGTGTGAATTAAAAATTATAACTCAGGATAGGATCAACCGTTTAAAATAAAAAATATACCATTCGATAGGGAATTAAATTTGCTATAAAATGATATAAAAATATTAACAAGTTGTCGAGAAGAAAAAAAAGTTATAAGCAAAAAACTGACATTATTTTGAAAATTAGACCTATATTTATTAAGGTTTTTTGCCCACAACTTTTTTCACAATTAACCTAAAATTGTGTTCTATAGCTCATTCGATAGCTAAAAGAATTTCCTATTTTTAAGACTAAAATCTCTGTCCAGAACTTATATTTATTTTTGAGTTATAATGCACAATTCTACTCTAAATCCTTTCTTTTATTACCAACCAGGCCTTTCGTGTGGACACAGATTCTGCATGGATTGACTTGATGGATCTTCAAATGGCAGTAACACCACTCTCTAAACCTCGAGAAAATCCTTTTCAATCCATCTTCCGTCCAAAACGAAAAGTTGGCTCACATTGTGGATGTAAAGCTCGAAATTCAAACTGCCCTCCAGGCCCTCCCGGTCCGCCTGGAACGCCAGGATTTCCTGGTCAACCAGGCCAAGCCGGACAAAATGGTCAACCCGGAATGCCAGGACAGCCAGGTTGAAAATTTTTCTTTTAACATTAAAAGAAATTAATTTTAGGCCCATCTTGTCCTGTGCCCAATTATGACTGTCAACGTTGTCCCGCAGGAGCTCCAGGAAAGCAAGGACCGCCAGGTATAGGCTGAGAGAATATTTATTACATATAATAATAATGTCTCGATTTAATTAACTTTTTAAATTTTCTTTTTAAAGGCCTCCCTGGACCCCCTGGAAGGGGCGGAGCGCCTGGAATGCCTGGAAAATGTATAAACTTTAATTAAATAAAATCAAAGATTTTTTTAATTTCAGCAAGCGGTGTAGGACCAATAGGTCCTCCAGGCCCTCCAGGACCGCCTGGACCTAAAGGCGATTGTGGTGGAAACGGGCAGCCTGGCCAGCCTGGCAAAGACGCTAGCTTAAAGTAATCACCATTTAAAAATCCCAAAAACCTTTAAAAAATTTTTTAGTCCTGTTTTGCCTGGGCCAAAAGGCGTGTCTGGATCGCCTGGTCAAGTTGGCCCGCCAGGACCGCCTGGAGCGGTAAAAATAATTTTAATACAAATTTTAACTGAAAAATTGTTTTTAGCATGGAAAGCCGGGTCTACCAGGCCCAATAGGCCCTCCAGGACCGCATGGTCCCCCGGGGAAACCGGGGGCTTGTGGAGAGGATGGAGAAGATGGATTGCCCGGCCAGCCTGGACAAGATGCTCAGGTAGCAATTAAAATGATTTTTGAGACTCTAATGACCCTTTTCAGTATTGTCCCTGTCCTGAACGCTCAGCTATGGCCAAAGCAGCAAAAGGAGCATAAGAAGAAAATTGAGGAAATTTTTAGTTATTTTAGAAGTTTGAATAGTCTGAATATTTTTATTAGAATTTTAATTGTGAGGCAAATAAATACCCTTACAAGTTTGCCTCACAAAACTACCACATTTTAGAAAATTAATTTTTTCTAATTTACCTATAATTCCCACTGCCAATACCAAAATTAAGAATATTTATTTTAGTAGATTCTGTGTGTATATTAATTGTTTTTTGATAGAAAAAAATTTTTTTAATAAAAAATTAATTTATATTGTGTAAATACAGTACACGTTTGAAGACGCGAACCGAGGTTAGTCTTTTGTCCATAACTCCAGAACGGATTTGTATTTTAAAAAGTGAAAGGTACCATTAAATAGGGAATAAAATTTGCTACAAAATGAGCCTTAAATAAAAATTTTTGAAAGAAAAGAAAAAAAAAGTTAAAGGCAAAAAAGTTGCAAAATTACAAAGTTTCAAAGCTTAAATGTTAGTTTTTTATTCATAACTTTTTTGCTAGGTAACCTAAAATTTTTATTTTTGTCTTATTTTGTAGGAAATTTAATGCTCTATCGAATGGTATAAAATTTTTGAAAAATGGTCGAGTCATTGTAGAGTTATATTTTTTCAACTGAACCAACCTCACAACAAACTGTCTACTTAATATTTAATTTTTCATTTTCCTAAAAAAATTTTTTTCTAATTTTTTTACAATTTTTTCTTGCACTTTGCGGTTTGTTCTTATTTCATTTTTTACTTGTTATATATTCCTTATTCCCTGAAATTAAAAGTGGAAGAATAAATTACATAAAGGGTGAAATTTGTGAGGGAATTTCGAAGAAGACCCAATTTTTGGAAGGAGGGCAAATTTTCAAAGTGATCAAAGACAAGGTTAATTACAAGGTACGTACATACAAAAAAGAAAGGAAAGAAGAAAAAGTAGAAGAAGATATCCTCAATTTCAGTTATTAAGTAGTTAAAGGTGGTGGAGACGTTTGGGCGCGGAAGCTTGCTTGGATGGATGGCATATTTGGTCAATAACTTTTTTCATTGTTGATAGATTCTGACAATTTTGGTATTATTCGAAAGCTGTTGATATGCTTATTCTTTTCTCTAAAAGGGTCGATTCGATACAAGGATTTCTTAAAGAGTTATAGCTTATTATGTGGGGAAAATCAGGATTATCCCTACTTATCCACCCATATCTATTTTTCTGGTGATTGGATATCATTACTCCTTTAAGATGTAAGAATCCTCACATTCAGAGCTTTCGAATGATATAAAATTTATTCGGATTGGTTAGGAATTAAAAAAGTTATAGTCTGAAAACCATCCTCAACTCAGACCTTTATATGCTAGGAAAATCAAGATTATCCCCCCTTTTATCCACCCATATCTATTTTTCTGGTGATTGGATATCATTACTCCTTTTGGGCTAAAAAATCGTCACATTTCTGAGCTTTCGAATGATATTTAATTTATTTAAATCGGTTAACAAACAAAAAAGTTATAGTCTAAAATCCATCCCCTACTCCCCCTGGGTTGCGCCCAAACGTCACAAATCTCGGTTGCGCAAAAAGGGCAATTGCCCTCCTCACCTACCGCAATTACTCCAATTCTTCCAAAATTTAGTAGTTTTCTTCCTGCTAATGCTTAAAGAGGAAAATGATCGAAGAAAAAAACATTTGGAGAGTTGAATATAAATCCCCGATTTGCCCTCATTTTAATTTTTGTCCTTGATTTTTAAAGCCTTTTTGCTTTAATCTCTACCTTAACTCTCCACCCATTTTAAAGAATGAGAGAATCTTCATTTTCCGTAATTATTCAATCCTTTAGTCGTTTAAAATAAAATTTATTCTAAGAAAAATATTTATTATACGAACTTTGAGGTAGAAAATTATTTCCAAGACTCAAATGTCCAAAGGTTCAAAATGCCCAAACTAAGAAACACCCAACCCCTTAAATTTAATTAAACTTTACTACAGTCAAATCACTTGTAATACACTCCCTGGGGCTAAAAACTCGCACCTTATACCTTCTATTTACGTTAAATAGAAGGTATCACTTAGACAGCTCTGCTAACCACTGGACGACTCCCCCAACTTAAACAGCTACTTTGCCCTTACTATACGATATTGGGGGTATCTCATAGTGAAGTCTGACTTTAATTATTTTTAGTCAAAAAATGCTTCAAATTAATTTAATTTTATTTCTAAATATTTTAATATCAACAACTTTGGGATATGATTTATCCTCAGTTTTGGATAATTATATTATAGGAACGCCTAAGGTTGTGTGTGAAGAGACTGAGGTGGCTATGGATATTGTTACTGCTAAACCTTTTATTGGTTGGGTATTTTAATTCTGATAATAAAATACAAGAAAATACAAAAAACAAGAAAACACAAGAAAAAACACAAAAATACATGAAATACACAAAAAAATACAAAAAATCACAGAAAACACAGAAAAATACAAAAATACAAGAAAACACAGAAAAATACAAAAAAACACAAAAACACAAAAAAAATACAAAAAAACACATAAAACACAAAAATACAAGGAAATACAGAAAACACAAAAAAACACAAAAATACATGAAAATACAAAAATACAGAAAAACACAAAAATACAAGAAAATACAAATTTTCAGGTAATATTTTTGTCAAAGGCCGTGCCAAAGACACCTCCTGTCGCCAATCTTTTGGAGATTCCCCAAATTTAAAAAACGGTACTAGCGCGTATACCCTAAGTCTTGGAAAGTGCGGAATGCAAAGATTAAGATCGGTAGTTTAATTAAAATTTTTAAAAATTGAATTAAAAAAAAATTTAAAGGCAAGTCCAAGAGGAATAAATTTTGCAGTTACTTTAGTTGTTTCTTTTCACCCGGCTGGATTTATCACAAAAAATGATAAAGCATTTCATTTAAGTTGTTTTTATACAGAACCCGAAGAGATTGTTACTAGCAGTTTTGAAGTCAGGTAAAAAATATGAGAGGGAAAATACAGGGAAAATACAAAAATACGAAGAAAACACAAAAATACACAAACACCGGAAAATACAAGAAAATACAAACAATACAGAAAAACAGAAAAATTCGAAAACACAAAAATACAGGGAAAACACAAAATACGAGAAAATACAAAAATACATAAACACCGGAAAAACACAGGAAAATACAAAAACACAAAAATATAAAAAAACACAGAAAAACAAGAAAATACAAAAATACAGGGAAAATACAAAAAACACAGAAAAACACAAAAATACAGAAAATATGAAATACAAGAAAATACAAGAAAACACAAGAAAACACAATTTTGTATTTCACTTTTCAATTTTTAGTCATTTACCTCCACAAGAATTGAGCGATCAAATGTCTCTTCCAAGTTGTCGGTATTCTGTTCACTCAACAGGCTGGGACGGTCCCCAGTTGAGTTGGGCTAATGTTGGGGATACTGTATTTCATGTGTGGGAATGTAGAGGTCCAGAGATGGGAATGCTTATTAAAAAGGTGAAGAAATACAAGAAAATACAAAAACACAAAAAAACACAAATTTAGTGTTTTGTAACGGATGGGGATGGAGATGACCACGCAGTTGTGGACGAGAATGGGTGTTCTCTAGATCTTGGCTTGATAGATGAAATAATTTATGCTGAAGATGGGAGGATGAGGGCATATGCTAAGAGTCATGTTTTTAAATATGCTGACTCCAATCAACTCTTTTTTACCTGCCAAATTAGGTAAAGTTTCAAAATGGTCAGAAATAAAAATGGTCAAAGTTAAAAAAGGTCATAAGTAAAAATGGTTAAAGTTCAGAATGGTCAATGTTCAAAATGGTCAGATATCCAAAATGCCAACAATTGACCATTTTATTACTGACCCATTTGAAAATATACAAAATTTGACCATTTTACAACTTTTTATTTTTTAGAATGTGTCAAAGACAAATGGATATGTGTCAAGGAATAACACCCCCAAAATGTTCTGGACAACAAAAAGAAACGAAAAAATCCAAATTAATAAAACAACACAATAAAGATGAAAATAAATATAGAAATGAGGAAAATGAATTTGTTGATATCCCAGAAAGTGCCCAAATAGAAAAAGTTTTGGTTAAAGAAAGTGAGGCTGATTGGAGCTTGGATAGTGGGGTAGTGTTGGAAGATGGGGGGACAGAGAAGGGGAAATTGGTTAAGGGAATATTGAAGCAGAAGATGAGGGAAGAAAAGGGGATGAAGAAGAAGGAAGAGATGAGTGAAGATAAGGAAGAGGGGAAGAAGATGAAGGAAGAGGATGAAGAAGGGAAGAAGATGAAGGAGGAGAAGAAGGAAGATGAAGAGAGGAAGAGGAAGGAAAAGGATGGAGAGGGGATGAAGAAGAGAGGAGGAGGAAGGGACGAAAATGAAGAAGGGAAGAAGAAGAAGGAAGAGAATGGTGAAGGGAAGAAGGAAGACTCCAAAAAAGAAGAAAATAGAGAAACAAGACAGGAAAAAGGACTAGAAGGCAAAAACAAAGAAAAGGAAGGACTTTTAGAAGAAAATAAGGACAAAAAAGAATTGGGACAAAATGTCACAGTTAAAAATGCAAATAATGAAGAAACCAAAAATTTAAATAAACTTGAGCAAAAAATGGAAAAAAGAAGAGAAAAGATTGCTGAGGAGGAAGAACAGGAAAATGGGGGAGAGGAAGAGGTTGAAGCTAATAATGATTGGAGTTTGTTGGTTAAAGGAAGGGGAAGAAGAGGTGAGTAATTTAATTGTTGCATAATGGTCAATTAAAAAAATTTTCATAATGGTAAAAATAAAAATGGTCAGATAGTATGGGTTTGAAAAGCTGACCATTTCGGTCACTGACCCTTTTGAAAAAATATTAAATTGACCATTTCGAACTTTGACCATTTTTAATCTTGGCGTTTTGTCCAGAATGAAAAATATCAAATTGACCATTTTGTCTTGACCATTTTTAAACTTGGCGTTTTGTCCAAAATTTTTTAAATGAAAAAAATTCAGCCCTAACATCACTACAATCGCTACCTTCTACCTCGTCTCTCCAAAACCACAAAATAGAAGTAGATGTGGCATCCCCCCAAATGCTTGTATTAGATAATGAAGATTATGCCCGTATTGGAAAATCAAAGGAAGAAAAAACCAACAATTTAATAAAAAATTTTGAAGAAAAAGGTGTAAAAAAGGAAAATTATTGTGTTGGAACAGACCAATTAATTGTTGGAATATTGACGGTTTTGGGGGTTATGTTAGCTGCTTATGGAGCTTTTTGGATTTTAGAGAAGCGATGGAAAAGAAAAAATGTTGATGAAATATTTTATTTGGGTGGAAAGTTGATTTGTCGGTGATTTTTTGAGAAATTTTAAAAGTGGGATCAAATGTCATTTTTGGGTTACTGTAGAAAAATGAGAGGAAATTTGGGGGAAAATAGTTTTTTGGGGGGGTTTCGAGGATGCTGATTACGAATTTGGAGTTTGTTTGGCATTCTGATTTATATTAAAAAAATTTTGGGCTCTAATTTCTGTCCCGGAATTATTTAGTTATTTAATAGGGCCTAGGGAAATTTAATTTTATTTCTCATTTTTCGACAAGAAAATAATCAAAATTAATTTTAATTTTATTTTTTTAATATTTTGGAGAGGGCTTTAATAAATAATCTATTTTTAATTTGAATAAAATTTATTTTTTTTGTTGAAAATTTTAAATTGGGATGAAATGTCATTTTAAGGGTTAGCCTATTTTTGTGGTTAAAATAAATTTAAATTTTGGGTAAAAATTATTAGAATTAATTTTTGAGGGGTTTAATGTTCAAAAAATCATTCTAAAAATTTTTCTGATTTTCTGAATTTTTTTCTGATTTTTTCAGATTTTTTTTTCTGGCTGATTTTTCTCTTCGCCCAAGCAATTTTCCTCTTTTCTTTCCAAAATTTAATTTTTAATTAATTTTTAAAAATAAAAATTTGGCAGTTTTATTATTTTCTCTATAATTTTTTACTAAAATTTCTAAAATACTCTCAAAATTCTTTTTTTTTCAAATAATTATATCATTGCTTCTTTCCTCTTCATTTGCTTTCTAAGCGCGTTTCTTTGCCTTGAGCACAGATGAGCGTGGTGGGCAGGGACAATACTTTAATTATTTAAATTTTAAAAGGGTTTATTAGAGTATATCTACCTGAGCATCTTGTCCTGGTTGGCCAGGGGGTCCGTGAGGACCTGGTTGTCCTGGAGCTCCAGGCTTGCCTGAGGGGCCGGCAGGGCCGACTGGTCCTGGAGGGCCTTCTGGGCCGGGCTTTCCGGGCTGAAATTTTTTAAAATTAATTCAGACTCAGATAGCCTCTGTGTCCTACCACTCCGGCTGGTCCAGGCTTGCCAGGTTGGCCAGGAGAGCCTGACGGTCCTTTCGGTCCGGGGATGGTTGGGCTAAAATTGAGGATTGAATTTGAAATTTTGTAGTAGAAAATTTTGACTTACTGGCTGACTCCGTTCTTTCCTGGTTGTCCTGGTTGACCAGGTCCTCCGTGCTTTCCTGCAGGTCCGGGGGGTCCTTGTGGACCGGCTGGGCCGGGAGGTCCAGCACCGCTGCCTGTGAATAAATAAATTATTAGGTTAATTAAATTTATTGTCAACTTACTCTTTCCTGGTGCTCCAGGCCTTCCAGGTTGTCCTGGTTGACCAGCTGGTCCTTGCTTTCCTGGAGTTCCAGGGGCTCCGGCAGGGCATCGTTGGCAGGCTTGTTGGGGAAGTGGGCATGGAGGGGCAGGCTGTCCTGGAGATCCTGGCTGTCCGACATGTCCTGGTTGTCCTGGATGACCGGGCTGGCCGGGTGGGCCAGGGGGTCCTGGTGGGCCAGGTGCGCCTGAAAAAGGAAAAATTAAAATTAATTTAATGGCAAAAATAGGCAGAAATGGCTAGTTTTGGGGAGTTTAGGCATTAACTTGCAGCTTAGATGGCCTAAAAGTTTACCTAAACCCTTTAAAAGACTGTATGAAGGTTAGTAGTCTTCTAAAGATGTAAAAAATAGTTAATAAAAATATTTGGGATCAAATGTCCGAAAAACCCAACATGACGAAATTGCTGGGGACCAAATATCCTAAATGGCAACTAATGGCAAATTGACTGTTATTTCATAAAAAATCCAACATACAATTAATCTCCAAGGGTTGGCAGATACAATAATCCGGCAAGGAACGTTTCTGCCTGTAGAGAGATTGGAAGGGGTTAGAACGAGGCTTCGATTGGGGAGTAACGGCAACTTGTAATTCCATCAAATCATTCCAGGCAGAGTCTGTATTAACCCGAAAAGCTTGGACACCATCTCGTACACGTAAATTCAAGTCGTTAATTTGGGAATAAAGTTGTGGCATGACCACTAAAGTGGCCATAATTGCCAAAAGAGAGGAAAAGCAGGCGATGCCGATGACTACTTTTGTCTCTTGCATTGCTCTGAAAATTGAAAATTTTCTTTTTTGAAAATTTTTTTGAAAAGATTTTTTTGAAAATTTTTTGGAATTTTTTTTTTAAAATTTTTTTAGTTGGACAAGTTAAGGGATTAATAGGAAAAATAAAAAAAATTTAATTTAAAAAAATAATAAAATCTCTGGGAGACTTCTTAAGAGGTGAAAAGACAGGAATATTAATGAGAGATGAGTTGGGTATACTGTAGAAGTATTTTTTTTAAATTTAATTTGATTTAAAAAATTTTTTTGTGTTTTGAATTTATTTTTAGGTGGAAAATTAAATTTTTAGATTAAAAATGAAAAAAAAATTTTTGAATTTTTTTAAAATTTTTTTGAACACCTCTAAGAGTGATCTTAAAGGCGAGAGATTTTTTGGGTAAGAGAAATTATTTAATTAAACTTTTCCCCCCACAAAAAAGTTTTACCAGTCAAGTTTTACCCTTCAAGTTTAATTAATTTTTGAGAATTTTTGAGAATTGTAAAAGGTGTGTTTTGTGATTATCACACATTTGCAAAAATAATCTATTTATTCCGCCTTTTTATACTAAAAGTTTTTTTAATGGAATTTGTTGACAACCTTTTTTTTTTTTTTACACTCCGCCTTAAACTTTTTTAATTTACCAAATTTTTGTTCAAACTGTTCTTTACGTAATGAAGAAGGATGACGATATAGGTAAAAGGCCAAAGAGGAGAAAATTGAAAAAAATTTTAAAATTAAAAAAGTTCTAGAAAGTGGACATTAGAGTCTGGAAATTTTTTTTGATAGTTTTTTGGCCATAACTTTGTTGGGATTTGACCGAAAATTTTATTTTTGGTATCATTCTGTAGCCAGTTTAATTATCTATCGAATGACACCAAAATTATGGAAAAATATTTTTTCAGTCAAAAGTTATATAGCTTAAGGCAACGCCTGTTCTCATACATGTGTTTATTTTCTGACCAATATCTCTTTTATTAATTTTTAAAAAATTTATTTTAATTTATTCTTATAGCTAATTTAATCCTCTATCACTTACACCAAAACATTTTTAAATGTTAATTCGAGAACACGATATTTTTAAAATCTCCATACTCTACTAACCCCTTTAAATGTCCTTGCTCCTTCTCCCCCCAAAAATTTGCTTTTCAATTTTTCCGTTCTGTTCCGCTTCAATAACCACTTTTCGGTTATATTACCAAGAAAATTTAGTGTTCCTTCCCTTCTAAATAAAAAATATTAAAAAGGCTAAAAAACTGCGGCATAGATAGACCGGTTTATTTTTAAACGATTTATTTATTTAATTAATTGCTGTAGAAATATTCAGTAAATAAACATTTTTGGAAAAGTTTTGTAAAAAAAGTTGGTTAATTACAATTTGTAATAAGTTGGGAAAATGTTTGCAAATAAAGTTTATTTTGGAAAAGTTTTGTAAAAAAAGTTGGTTAATTACAAATTGTAATAAGTTGGAAAAGTTTTTGTAAATAAGTTTATTTTTGGATAAGTTTGTAAAAAAAGTTGGTTAATTACAAATTGTAAAAAGTTGGAAAAATATTTGTAAAATAAGTTTATTTTTTGGGTAAGTTTGTAAAAAAGTTTATTAATTTTACAATTTGTAATAAGTTGGAAAAAAGTTTGTAAAAAAAGTTGGTTAATTACAATTTGTAATAAGTTGGAAAAATATTTCTAAAATAAGTTTATTTTTGGAAAAGTTTTGTAAAAAAAAGTTTATTAATTTTACAATTTGTAATTTGTTGGAAAAATGTTTGTTAATAAAGTTCATTTTGTGAAATGTTTGAATATATTGTTAATTACAATTTGTAAATTAATTAAAAAGGTTTGTAAACTTGAGTTTCTTTCTTAATTAAATATTTTAAGCCAATTAGACCTCGCATGAATTTTTCTTTATAACTTTTTTTTGAATTGAGCTAGAACTTTAAATTTTTATCATTTAAAAGAGGAAGATCAGGGCTACAATATATTAGAAAATCATAATTTTAATTTGTGTTTTCAAAATGTTATGGAATTTTTAAAACAGATTCTCTCTCCATGTTTATAGGGCCAATAAGTTTTTTAAACAAAAAATTCTTTTTTAATCAGTCAGATGCTTAATCAATTGTTTATCCAGGTGATAGAGTCGCATGTCTTTTCACATGTCTAGTCACACGTCTTTAAATCAATTGACAATGCCTTTAGAATTCACGAGACCTCGCCCGCGCAATGAGGAGAGTTAAAGGAGAGTTAAGGGAGAGTTAAGGGTGAGGAAAGAAAGACTTTTAAATTTAAAAATCCCCCCCCCCTCCTTCCCTCTCTCCCTCCCTCTCCATCCCTTCTCCTTCCCTCCTTACCTCCCTCCCTCCCTCCCTTCTCATTATTCCCTTTATTGGCATTTTTCCATCCCTCCATAATTCCCTTTAAAAAAATTTTTGTTTGTCTAAAATGAAGGTTTTTGCTTTTAAATATGCTCCCGTTTTTGTCTGCCTTCTAGCTCTATTTATAATTTGTGAGATTGTAAATTATTCTGAAGGATTTCCAACGGGTAGGTTTATTTAAATTTTGATTAAAATTAAATTACAATTGTAAAATGTTTATATTTTAAAATCAACTTTAATTGTAAACTTGATTTTAAATTGTAAAACAAGTTTTGACAAGGTTAGTCAAAATTGTAAATTTTTACAAATTAATATTTAATATTTGATCAAGTTTACAATTTACAATTTTAAGCCAACTTAATTTAAAGGAACATTGTTTCGAGAGAAACGGGCCAATGGTGGAAACGGAAAGTCTTTATCCAAGCAGGAGAATAAGCTTGGAGGTAAAAAGAAATCCTTCAAGAAAAATGGAAGTGGCGGGATTGTTGGAACACTTAAAAATGCGAAAAAAAGTTTAGACAATAAAAGTATTAGTGGAACACAGGCAGTAGGATTAACGGCGTTAGGTGTAGGTCTTGGAACGCTTGTCGGGACTGTAGCTGGTAGGGGCATAGAAAAGGACCAGCAAGGATTTATGCAACAACAATATAATGGTGGTGGAGGATTTGTTCCTAATTATCGTTAGTTTTGGGGGAGATTATCTAAATAATAAATTTTTAATTAAGCGCAACCTGCAATTATGCCGCAACAATTTATGCCCCCACCAATGCCTTGTTACTAAAGTGAAAGGAAGAGCGGAAGATGTATAAAACGAAAAAAAATTTTTTTAAACTAAAAGAAGCTTCGATATATTTTTTTAAATTCCTATTTTTAAAATGTATTTTTAAATTTATTTAAATTTCCCCTAAACGATCTTTAAAAGGTGTATAAATCTTTATTTGGCATACATACATATTTGATTTAAATTAAAATTACAATTTCCGCTAGAAATTGTAAGTTTACAATTGTAATTAGGTGTGAATTAATTTAACCATTGTCTAACTAAAAATGCAACTTGAATTACAAATTGTAATTACAAATTGTAATTGCAAATTGTAATTGCGAATTGTAATTACAAATTGTAATTACAAATTAAATTACAAATTGTAATTACGAATTGTAATTATAAATTGTAATTACAAATTGTAATTACGAATTGTAAAAATAAAAGAAGTTTAATTTTTATAAAACTTGAATTACAAATTGTAAATTTTTTACAAATTGTAAATAAAACTTGAATATTTTTTTCAAGTTTATTTTCAAAATTGTTGCTGCACTCGGAAATGATGTTCGTTGATTTCCCAATATTTCCTGCTTCCCTGGCCCTTAATCATGTGAAATCAAAGGATATGAAATTTTCGGCATTACTTGTCAGACATTAAAGAGATTTGCACTTTAAGTAGACGTGTTGTTATTGAGAATTATTAAAGTGCATGAGTGGGATAAAGCTTTTCCCTTAGTTTTTTATATTTATTTTTTTTATTCAAAGATTTCTTAATTTAAAAAAAAATAAAAAATGCCCTATAAGACAATAATTTACCTCAACATTATTTTGATTATTCTTTTTGAATTTTATTGGGAGACTAATGCTGAGATTGTGGGTGAATTACATCGCAGAGGTTATAATTAATTATAAACTTAAGTTTAAGCTTTAAATTAAACTTAATTACAATTCAAGTTTTGAATTAGTTTCAAGTTTTATTCAAGTTTATTTTCATGTTTTATTTACAATTTGTAATTCAAGTTTTATTTACAATTTGTAATTCAAGTTTTACAATTCTAATGAATAAAACTTGAAAATAAACTTGAATTAAATTACAAATTGTAAATAAAACTTGAAATTAATTACAAACTTGAATAATTCAAGTTTATAAACTTGAATTATATATAGTAAATAAAATTTAATTTTACAACTACAATTAAATCTTTTAATTTTTTTACAAGTTCCTCGAAGCGATACAAACCAAGGAAAAGGCTTTTGGCACAAAACTAAAAAATTATTTAAAACTAAAGAGGGTAAATGGAGCAAGACAAAAATAGGGGCGGCAGGCGGATTAGCACTTCTTGCTGGAGTTTTGTTAAATGGGAATAGCAACACTGTGAATACTACGGGGTATCCAGGAATGATGCAACCTTATTGCTACTATTGCATGTAAAGGGGAGAAAAGAAAGAAAGATTTTTTTTGGAAAATTTTGAATATTTATACAATAATTTTAATTAAAAATTCAATTTATATTTAATTAAAAAATTCAAGATTCATCATTTTAGCAGATTTTAATTAATTTTAATCATTACAAAAATCTTTATCACACACATGACATTTTCCTTTTCCTTCTAGATAAATTTTAAAAATTATTTTTGTTTATTTTTTAAACGGTTTACTTGAAAATAGACAAATCCTTGAACCAGCATTGCATTTAACTGCAGATTTGGGTGCGCATGTACGTAGAACAAAAGGAGCTTAATTAAATATTATTTAAAATAAACTTAAGTTTACAAAATAAGTTTTACAATTGTAATTTTAAATTAAATCAAGTTTATTTTTAAATTCAACCTTTTTCAAGTTTTATTATTTTAAAAAGTGTAATTCAAGTTTATTTAAATAAATTACTTCTATTCAAGTTTGTAAACTTTAAATTTCAAGTTTATTAATAAATTTAATGTTTCTAAGTTTATTATTTTACACAATTGTAATTCAAGTTTATTTTAATTAAAGTTCAAGTTTGTAATCTCAGGTTTATTTTAAATTCAACATTTTCAAGTTTAATTATTTTGTAGTTGTAATTCAAATTTATTTAAGTAATTATTTCTTATTCAAGTTTGTAAACTTTAAAGTTTATTAATAAATTCAACCGTTTCTAAGTTTGTAAACTTAAATTTTAGGTTTATTAAATTTCACTTTTCCCAAGTTTAATTATTTTTGTAGTTGTAATTCAAGTTTATTTAAGTAAATTAGGTGGTAATTTATTTTAAGTTTGTAAACTTTGATTTAAGTTTATTTCTATATTCAAACTTTTTTCAAGTTTAATTATTTTTTAGTTGTAATTCAAGTTCGATTAATTGTAATTTAGGTTTATTTTTTCCAAGTTTATTTTTTCCAATATTATTTATAAATATTTTCAAGTTTGTAAACTTACATCTTCCTTCTTCGCAAGAATATTTATGACACACATAGTCAATATCTTTAAAAAAATAAATTCTACAGCAATAATTTATTAAATTTACCCAAGCTTCCACTAGAACATTGTTTTTGGACATAACGTTTGTTCTGTCCAGAGTAACATTGTTTCGCTGAATCAGAATTTTGTAAAATTAAAAATAGGAGGAAAATAGGGGATAGACTGATAATTATTGAGTTAAACATTTTTGTTAATTTGTCTGATTTTTAAATTTAAAAATCAATCAGCGGAAGAAAAACAGAAATTTAACCTTTCAAACAATTATTGACTGAGGTGCTCATTGTAATAAAAAAAAAATAAAAACGTGGGCAAGAGGGAAATAATGTGTATTTTCTATTAAAAATATAGAAAATTGGTGTCTACAGCTTTTTAACGATTTTAAAACAACATGTGATTCATAGCATATCTGGGGGAAAAATTAAATCCAAAAGATCAACAAAATATTAAAAACAACTGTTGGAATACTCTTTAGTTAAAACTTTTAAGTTTACAACCTTAAGTTTTACAAGTTAAGTTTATAATTTCAGGTTTACAACTTTAAACTTACATGTTTTTCAAGTTTATAAACTTAAGTTTTTACAACGCTAAACTTAAACTTTTAAGTTTACAACTTTAATAAAGTTTACAATCTTAAGTTTCACAATTTAGATGTTTAATTCCAAGTTTTACAACTTTAAGATTACAATTTACAACAACTTACACTTTAAAATTAAATTAAAGTTTGCAACCTTGTTGTTGTTGTAGGTTTCAAGTTCAAGCTTAAATTTCCAAGTTTATTTTATTTCACTCAAGCTTGAAATTAACAAACTCAAATTTTTAAGTTTACTAACTTATCTACTTAATAAAATTATTTTAATTATGTTTGAAATTATTTTGATGCGTTGAAATGTTTTTGTTTGTCGGAATGTTCGTAGGTGGACATTTAGATGTTTTTACAAGTTTATAAACTTAAGTTTTTACAACATTAAGTTTAAACTTTTAAAGTTTACAACTTTAAAAAAGTTTAAAAATTAAAGTTTTACAATTTTAAAGTTTACGATTTTGAACTTGTTTTATTTTTATTAATAAAAATTTTTAAATAATACAAATAATTTTAAAATAATTGAAGAAAAATATTTTTTCTTTAAAAAATTAATTATCAAAAAAAATATTTATATTTAGCAAGAAGGAACATTTGTAGGCCAATCACAAACACTTATTGCAGGGTTAAACACCGTTCCTTTCCCACAATCTTTTTTTATCCATTTTCCTCCAGCACATTGGTAAAATTTGGAACAATTTTGACGGTCTGAACGAAAACCTGAGGGGCCTGGGGATTCCTAAAAAAAATTTTTTTCTTTTAATTTTTTCTTCTTAATTAACTTTTAATGTTCCTTACAATATTCGAAGCTTCTTCCTCTATTTTGCCAATAAGTCCAAACCCTTGTGCTAGCAAAACGTGAGGGTTTTTGGACTTATTGGCGGAATAAGAATGACTTTTTGGGGAATTTTCCTGCCAAATCAGTGTCCTCTTTTAATTGGGGTCTTCTATTTGATATCCCTATTATGGTTGTAACCCTCCTCCTCTTTCTCTCGTAGCAAAATTTTCCCGAACTTCCCTCGAAAGAGTTTTCCCCATAAACCCCCCCTCCCCCCCCCTCCCTCAATCGGAGAACAACCCCCTAATCTCTATGGGTTTGCCTTCTTTGGCATTCTATCTATTTATAAATTTTAAAGTTTTTAGTAAATAACATCAAAAAACTCGCCTGACATTTCTCATAAATTCCTTCACTATTCTCTCCAATATTATTTTTATTTATTCCATTATTATTTCCACATTTATCAAAAGCTTCACATTTCCCCAAATAAAATCTTTCCCCATAAGGACAAATTTGTTTATAAAATTTTCCATCCCTACAAGTTTCATATTCGGATTGGCATTCTGTTGTTTTTGGAGAAATTATTGGGCGTAATTCTCCCTCGAAACAAGGGGGTATATGTGTTGATAAACAAGCATATTTAGGGTCACATTGGCTTAACTGTTAAGAAAAATAATTTTTAAATTAAATAAACATAATGCCAAGAAAATTGAAAAAATTTGGGAAAAATACGGTATTTTGGCATAATGTCAAAATACCCCCAAATTGTTGCCAAAAATAAAATTGTAAAAAAATTTGCCTTTGGATTAAACCGATGTCCCAAATGACAGCTTTCCTCAACATATTGGCCGTAACGGCAAAGTAAATATTTGGAACAGTCCCGAGGGTGTACAAGTGTATGTCCTTCTACACATTGACCATTATTGGTGATTAAATCTGAAATTTATTAAGAGGATTTTTTCGATAGATAAAGGGACTCTTTTTTAAGAGATAATAGTCGTCTACTAAATAAAGGGTACTTTTTATGGATAATATGATACCTTAGTAATAGAAAACTCTAGTTAATATCCGTCCGAAAGTAATATAGGAACCTCTAGTCCAAGTAGAATATTAATGGTAGGGCGTAGGGAACACTGACTTTTGTTTTCCGTCCGAAAGGAACCTTAAGAGATTGTGTAGGTAACATTAAATTGAGGTTTCTATCAGAAAGGAACCTTAAGAGATAGGGCGTAGGGAACATTGACTTTAATTTTCCGTCCGAAAGGAACCTTAAGAGATTGTGGTGTGTAGGGAACATTGACTTTAATTTTCCATCCGAAAGGAACATGGGGTAGGGCATAGGGAACATTGACTTTAGTTTTCCGTCCGAAGGGAACATTAGAAGATAGTGTGTAGGGAACATTAAATTGAGGTTTCTATCCGAACGGAACATGGGGTAGAGAGTAGGGAACATTAAACAGAGCCTTCATTAAATACCAACTTTTCTGGCAATTAGATAATTCGCTACATTTGCCGTCTACAAAAGCCATAGAGTTTGGGCATTCAAATTCGTGCCAATTTCCATCGCGGCATTCTTTAGCTTTTCCACAATGGGGTAAGGGTTGGCGTAGACCGGAAGTACAGTTTGTAGGTAAACAAGTGTAACTGTTTTTAGGAATGTTTTTTTAGTTGGTTTTTTGATAAAAAAATTTTTTTTAATTTTTTTTTGAAAATTTTTTTTTGAAATTTTTTGAATTTTTGAAAATTTTTTGAAAAATTTTGAAAATTTTTTGAATTTTTTTGAAAATTTCGAAAAATTTCTAAAATTTTAATTCAACTAAAATTTTAAATTTTTCTCACTTATACGTGCACATTAATAATGAAGGATCAAATTGAGTTCCCAAAGCACACTGTTTTTCTGTATAATACCCTCCTAGCTCGAGAGCACATTCACTGTACTGTAATGGGTATATTCAATATTTAAATTTTAAAAATCCTCACTTTTGTACAGTCATAATAATTTGGAATTCGAAGAGGCGATTTTGCTGTGCAAAATACAAAACTGTATTTCTAAAAATAGAATTTTAAAAATTATGAGGGTTATTTGGGCGTCAAGTATTTTGGGCGTTGAGAGGAAGCAACGTTAGTTGCGTGCTTATAAAAACGCCAAAAGACGACTCTGAGATGTGAAATTTTGCACAGATATTCTTAATAGTATTAACTAACTATTCTGAAAATTTCAGAATTTTTCGTTCAGAAAATCAGAAATTATGGACAAAAATGCCAAATTTTCGGCAATTTTTCCCTAATTTTAGCCATAACTTTTGAAATGGGAAATAAAAAATTCTGAAATTTTAGGAGAAAGTGTAAACCGATATTACTCAATTCTATAGAAAATTTCACAAATTTAAATCTCCTTTTGATTAATTTATAGGCGCCTACGCCGTAACGATTTTGCGGCGAAACGTCTACAGAAAGGGGAAATTAATAAAAAAATATTAATTAAATAAATTTTTAAAATTCTGAAAAATATTCTGAAAAAATACTTTCTGAAAATATTTTTCAGAATTTATTTTTACAAATAAAAATATTCTCACATAATTAGCTTTCAAAACTTTATCATTCAATTCTGGCAGAGGCCCCAAGCCTCCAGTTGCTCTATTAGCATTAATTGAATTATTGGCCGAATAAACTGGCAATAAATGTAATGACTCAATTTTGTTTTTATTTAATGCTAAATTGTTGCCATTTAATTTTGAATTAATTTTAGTTTCAAATTCTTGACAAATTTGAATAAAAGAGGAATTAATTGAGGATGTTGCTAACACACACCCCAATGTTTTTGTGTTAAAATAATAATTGGTAGGGCAGGCAAGGTTAAACCAATCTCCGTCTATGCATTCCATAAAGTGTGTACAATCATGCTTATTTATTATTTTCTGAAAAATTTTTGAAAATTCCGAAATTTTTTAAAAATTAAGCTTAGGACGTTTCAGTGCGGAGTTTAAGTGTGAAGACAAGGCAACTTTATTAACCCACAACTTTTTTGTTTCAGAACCAATTTCTTCGAGTTATATACCATTAGAAAGCTCTTGATTTGTAGATTATTTTTTCTGAAAGGACCTTTTTGATCTGATAACTTATTCAAAAGTTATAGACAGAATAATAGAAAAATCACGATTTTTCGCGCTTATTCCTCTATAACTTTTGATAGAATGGACGGACAAAGACAATCCCTTTGGTATAAATACTCCCCTTTTAGAGAGCTTTCGAATGACATATAACTTGGCCTGGTTTGATCAAAAATTTTAAAAAGTTATTGAATTTAAACTGTCATAGAAACGTCCATTTTTCTCCTCCAAGTTACCTCTCCTTCAATACACCTTCTCTGCTTTATTCCAATTTTCTCATTAAAAGGATTAAATCCTTCAGGCAATAGATTCTCCAATGGATAATAATCTTCAGATTTTTTATTTGATATTATTCCGGTTTGTTGTTCTTTGCAAAAATGGCAAGGATCTTTTTTTAAGAAAAAAAATTTTTTTTATAATTTTAAAACTATTCAATTAACCCTCTCATAAATTAAAAATTAACCCTCTCCTCTCTACGCATAATTAAGATAAAATAAATTCTAGTAGGCTCTCTTAACGAAAATTCCAAAAAGATTAGAGTAGGTCACCTCTCACTCGCAATTTGAAAGTGAGTATCACTTATATACGTCTGTCTCTTATATTGAGTGTCTCTTATACAGAGAGTTCTCTTATACAGAGAGTTCTCTTATATCGAGTCTCTTATATTGAGTGTCTCTTATACAGGGAGTTCTCTTATACAGAGAATTCTCTTATATCGAGTCTCTTATATTGAGTGTCTCTTATACAGAGAGTTCTCTTATACAGAGAATTCTCTTATATCGAGTCTCTTATATTGAGTGTCTCTTATACAGGGAGTTCTCTTATAACTATTATTTTTTAAAACACCTTTAAGTCTATCACTAGCATATTCATGGCAGGACCTTTTAATCCAAAAACCAGATCGGCATTCCTCAAAGGTTATACAATCTGAGGAGGGGTGTATCTCCCCATCAGAACACACAGAAATATCGGTTGGAGGTTTTTGGTCCTATTAAAATTAAAAAAGGGCCTATTGGCTGTCAGAAAATTAATTTGCCTTGAATCGTCTACATTTATCAGAATAAACACAACGCTTCTCTTCCCCATTCCATTGAGTCCAATCGGGACACTTGGCAATTATATATTTGCCTTGAACACAGAGAAAGAAATCGCCACACTCTACAGAATAATAATCCCCGTCTTGACACTGAAAATTTAAAAAAATTTTTTTTTAATTCCGAAAAAATCCAAAACGACCTGTGTTTTAACAGGACACTGAAACTCGCTAGGAGAAACACACTCTTGTCGCTGTGGGTGAAAAACTTGCCCAGATGTGCACATATATTGACGCCAAACTGTAGGGGAATTATCCTTGCTTTCGCAGAAGTAGAACTAGGAAATAGTATTAAGGTTAGAAGGAAAAAGAAATTCCGGAAATAATTTCCGGAAAGTTTGTTAATTTTTATTTAAAAGACAAAACACAAAATGTAGCTTCCGGAAGGTTTATTTTGTTTTCCGGAAAATACATTTATTTAATTTTATTTGATAACATTTCCGGAAAATACATTTACATATTTAATTTTATTTGTAACACTTCCGGAAAATACATTTAATTGTTCGAGAAAATACAAAAAAATACATATTTTCCGGAAAGTTTGTTTAATAGAAGAAAATAGAGGGAAAAATACCTTAAACCACGCCCCTTTCCGGAAAAAGCATTAAAGTTTTAAAAATTCTATCTTAGCCTATATTTGATACAAAATTTTGTAATTTTGTAAATAAATATAAATCAACTAGTTCTACCATTATGCAAAATTTCAAATTTTTTTGCTTATCTCAAGTTAAATTATTAATTTTCTTTCATTTTCCCCCTCAAAGTATACTAACTTGCTCGCATTTATCAGTTGAACGTTTCATTTCCCCAGGCTGGCAAACGTTGCATTTAGCAATATCAGCAGGCACACACTCTCCATCTTTAAAAACATCACCAGGACGATGACATTGAAAAAGTTGTGGTCGCATTCCATTACAAAAAAGAAATTGGGGAAGGCAGTCGCCTATGGCACTCATTCTCCACTCCCAACCTCTTAAATTTGGAAAAAAATCTTTCAATTTTTGGGGAAATTTTGAAGGAAATGAGGACTAGAAAACAGAAAAATAAAAGAAAATTTTCAAAAAAATTTTTTAAGTTGCCTGCACGCGCTAAGATGTGGACATTGGTCTTCAGGAAGTATGCGCCTACACAACCCCCTTTCTTTGTCAAAAATGTTTCCTCCATCACAGAAGACAAATTCTGGCTCTTTAAATTCATCACAGACAGCATACCTATTTTTTAAAATTTTTATTAAATTAATAATAGAAAAAGACTGGTTAAGAGAGTTTTCTCTAACATCTCCTTATTTTCTATATTATTTTTCCGGAAATTTTATTTTCCTCTTTTTCCGGAAAATATAAATGTTAAAAAAAAGTAAATTCCGGAAATAATACATACATATTTCGGAAAATTATTTAATTTCCGGAAAGTATTAACTAGGAGAAAATACAAAATATAGTTTCCGGAATGTTTTCTCTAACCTCTCATATTTCTATACTATTTTCCGGAAAATTTATTTTCCACTTAATAAATTCAGATTTATTATACAGACCAATTTTTACATCTTTCCTCATTTGCCTTCATCAAGGATTGGGGAAATAGAGGAACCCCTCCTTTTTCCTCACATAATTGTCGTAATAAATGTGTACGTATAGGTGTTATATTTTCTTTAATTGCTTGGTTACAATGTTGGGGTGATTTTGAACATGTCATATTTTTCATTAAAAGAATTTTGCCTTAAAATTAATTTTTTGGGTAATTTTTGAAATATTTTTAAAAATTTAAGAAAAATTTTTTTTGAAAAATTTAGACGAACCAGCAAAAGTAAGCTACTATATTTTATGTATTTTAATATAAAATGCTTTCCTTCCGGAAGAAGTTTCCGGAAAAGTTTATCTATTTTATTTATTTTAAGTCTAACCAAGCCCCGCCCATTTCCGGAAAATAAATTAAAATAAAGAAATAGTAGGGAGAATAAAGATAAGTGAGGTAGGTTGTTGGATTTGATTTTGCCTTTGAAAAATTTTTTTTAATTTTGAAAAATTGTTCTGAAAATTTTATTAAAGGGAAAAGGGCACTATTCAAAAAATTTTTTTGAAATTTTTTTTTAATTTTAAAATTTTTAAAAAACTGCCTGGAGGACAGCTAATAGCCAACGGCTTTGCAGCCGCTCCTCTACAAATCAAGGCCTGTCTAGAACAGTGTTCTTCGGTAGAATGTCCATCGAGGAAATAAATTGTGGAGGTAAAAGGTGTATGTCGAGCACAGAAATGGACTGCCTAATTTTCAAGTATAAAAAAAATTTGTTAAGTCAAGGGACTTGTGCCAATTTTTCGGTAGCATCGTTGAGTAAATTTACTTGAGGGAGGAAACAATCTTTAACACGACGGGCTGGTTTGCCTTAAAAGAATTAAAAATGGGATTTTTTAATAATCTCTAATAATGAACTTCCATTAAATCTAAAAACTCTACCAGGGATAAAAAACCAAGCTCCGCCCATTTCCGGAAAATTAATTAAAATAAAGGGTTGTTATCTAGAGTTGGGCTGAATCGGGATCCAATTCGGGAAAAAATGTTAAGGATGAAAAATTATTAAGGGTAAGAGTCCCTTGCCATTTCAAAATTTTTGTCTCGGCACAAAAAATGGAAGAACTCAATCGTCAACGCTGAACTCTCTCCTTGACCTTCCAAAATTCTCAAAAAATTGTTGATTCTGAGACATTGTAGTTTAATCCTGTTGATGACTGGCGTGGTGAGAGGCAAAGGAAGATATTGAACATTTCAATAAAGCTGCTCTTATATCCCCCCCCCCCCCCACTACGTTTCTTCACTGACAATTTCGACTTCCTTCTCGAGAATATACTATAAAAGCACCGACATTTCATCCATTTCACAACACCTCTACAAAACAATCATCACAACCCTTCAAGCATCTACATCGTCTACAGCAACAACTCTTCATGCTCGGCCTTCTTCCATCGGAGCTCGACACCGGACCCTGGACCAAGAAGTCGTCAACGCTGTGCTCTCTGCTGCTGCTGCTCACCATCGCACTTGCAGTTCCCGGACAGGTCAACAGCGAAGAAGTCGGACTCGGCAAGCACATAAAGAATCGAGAAAATGTGACGCTCACCGCCAACACCGTAACTTCCGACAAGGCGGGCATCGACCTTGCTAGTCATAACTTCAAGGAGCGGTATCCGGACGCCTGCGATGTTACAATCAAAGACGGCTACATGTGAGGACTTTTTTATTCTTTTCGGAATTAATGTAACTAAAATTTCATTTTATTTCAGCGAGCTTCGATACAACGAAGGCAGCAAAGGATGCACTGTGGACCTGCTCAGCACCAATCCGTCGAACATCAACAAGATCAAGTTCAAAACGGGAGTGCGAGGAGGCGCAAAAGGAGGACTCGATACATGCCTTAGTGGAACTGACAACTTCAGGGATAGCCATAACAACACGTGAGTTTTGTTGAGTTTGTCGATTTTAATTAACCTATAAACTGCCTTAACTTTTTAAATAAAATTTTTAGTCTGCCTTTTGTCTACAGCGTCAACAACACGAAAATAGAGGAGCTTAACAACGGCCCTCATACGGATGAAAAAAGCTGCAACAAACCAAATGACTGTAAATTATTTAATGGAAAGTGCATGCCGAAAACATCTCTTCAAGTCTCATGGAGCAAGTCTGGGAATATGGTCTATGGTTACACACATTTAAGTAAGCTTAAGCATACTTAGGTAAGTTTAATTACATCAAAATATTTTAGTTGGAGAAGAGCCACACAAGGGCGGCCTTAGGCGGAACAGAGAGAGAGAGAAGGACAGCGTGACTTTCGATCTTGAAATAAATTCCAGCCGCGGATTCATTTTCGATGGAGAGGCCTTTAGTGCTTCAGAGCCTGTCTGCGTTAATAAGTCAACTCCTCTCTTCGAACCCGAAACATGGACAATCTCGGATGGGGATTACAAGGGACACCTGCTCGTCTTCAGCCTGCTTCGACAAACCTCTTCTCGCATAATCAAGGGGTATCAGCTCTCAGAGGATCATCCGAACGGACCGATTTGTGAACTCTTCGTTCAATTTGTGAGTTTTTATCCATTTTTTAAAACCTTTCTAATAATTTTGTTTTTCCTAGGATCTAAACGACTACAGTCTGCTCCTTGTCATTCCGACAACAACGATGCCACCGACTACTTCAACGACCACTGAGGATCCACCAACGGAAACAGAGCCGCCTGAAACGTCAACAGCTCCCTCTGGTTCTTCGCCACCTCCTACGACCGACAACAGCTCCCCTTCCACCACAACGACATCTCGAACAACGACAAAGTGTCTGGAACAGCAGGAGAAAGGTGGTGGTGGTCTCTACATTGCAATTGGCATTGCTGTTGGCCTCATTATCGGGATCATCATGGCAGTTTTGGTCTGGTTCTGGATGAAGGACAAGGCAAAAAAGGACGCCGAACGCGCAGAAGAAAAACGTCTGCTTGCTCTGTACAAGGCTGACCAGAAGATCAGAGGCAAAAAGGCCGTCGGGACATTTGATGCGTGGAAAAAGAATGTGAGTTTAACAAACATTCATTTGTACCAACCTTATATTTTCCATTTTTTCAGAGAAAGGAGAGTGATGAAACGACTGCGTTTGAGATGGGTTCAGTCGACGACATGATCGCTGTAATCTGGAAGAGAGTGGAGAAGGATCACGCCAAAGCCAAGATGCAGTTCCTTGTAGACCAGTTCGAGAAGCACAGGGACAACGAGGTCTACGCCCGCGAATATGAACCGGAAAAGGCTAAAAAGGGATATGATGCCGTTGGGAATTTCCTGTATTGGAAAAGGGTGAGAAAAATAAATTTTTTTAATGTAACTTGGTCATTTTTAAATTTCAGATGAAGAAAATCTATCCGTTCGAAGTGATCGATGGAACATCAACTGCGCTTGAATATGGGGCGGGAAAGAAGCCATATGATAAGCCGTATCTTCCCGGGGCCGTTGACGAGTCGATTCCAGAAACTGAATAGGGAGGAGGAGTTTGGCCCGGAAGTTGTGTGAAGGTGACGCTCGAGATATAAAAATGTGTGATTATCTATATATTGTTCCTTTGCTATGTCCCTATATATTGTTCTCATTGTTCCCCCAATATGTTCTCGTTGTATGTATTGTATATTTCTTGTTTGTATTGTATTTGAATTGTATTTAATTGTATTTTTGTGTGTGTAAATAAATTGTTGTTTGAGTTGTTGTTTTATAGACTCGAAAGATTAGGAAATACCCCCCTCCCTCTTATCTCTAAACTGAACACAAAGATATACTCACAAAGTGAAGTACCTCCCTCCATGGGATTGGGTACCTGCTGGGTGAGACGATAATTCTGGCTCCCTAGCCTTCCAAATTTTAAAAATTTTCGACTGGGTCACAAAAATGAATGAAGTCTGGCTTAATCTCTTTTATTCACCCAACTTCCTTAATCCACCCTTAATACTTTATCCCTATGAGGGAATGGACATTGGGAGTGGGTTGACCAATAAGGTTAACTTTTTCGACTACGACCTTCCAAAATTTCCGCCATCATTTCAAAACCCATCCCGATTTTACGTCGGGATCCCGATCCGGCCCACCTCTAGTGTTATCGAAGAAATTCCGGAAAGTTGTTACCGACCGGAAGTTATTGGGGCGATACTAGCCTGATAATGAGTCCTAAAAAGTCGCTTTTATTGAGAGTTTATTAATTAGAGGATTTTTAAAATCTAAAAAACTTACATTTATTCCCAATAAAAACTTGCCCTATGGGGCATTCTTCAAAATTAAATTTTTGCTTTAAATTATTAAAATCTCCACAATTTAAGAAAGTAGAGCTACAAGACCCTAATTGAAAATTCTTTCCATTTCCAAAACAAAAAATTTGTAAATTTATTCCTCTAATTTTATTTGAATTTTCTTCTTCATTAAAAAATGATTTTTGAATTTTATTTAATTTGTTTTCTTCATGGTCTTCTTCAAATATTTGTAAACCCCCTTCTGCTGATTTCCATAGAGTATCTAATTAAATTTATTGATAATAGAAAAAGACTATGGAAAAATAAGAGAGTTTTCTCTAACATCTTTTTATTTTCTCTATTATCTTTCCGGAAAGTTTAATTTGTATATTTTTCCGGAAAATATAAGGTTAGAGAACGAAAAAGAAATTCCGGAATTATCTTATGAAAAATTATTTAATTTTTCCGGAATGTATTATTAAAGGATAAAATACAAAATACGCAAAATACGTTTCCGGAAAATATAAAACACAAGATATAGTTTCCGGAAAGTTTATTTAGAGAAGTGATGGAAAGGAAAATACATATTTAATTTCCGGAAAGTATTTTCCGGAAGATTTATTTAATTGTTTATTGTGTATAAAATAAAAATATATATTCCGGAAAGTTTCTCTGATGTTTCTTTCTATACGATTTTTCCGGAAGTTTATTTTCCTAAAGAAATTCCGGTAAACTCCTTAACAATTATTTAATTTCCGGAAAGATTATTTTAGGAGGAAATACAAAATATAGTTTCCGGAAGGTTTATTTTAAAGAAGTGGGGGAAAGGAAAACACAAGAAAGTATCCCTTCCGGAAAATACATATTTTAACTGTTCCCTTCACACTACCCCAAATGTTCCCTACACACTACGAATGTTCACTTCACACTACCACTGTTGTTCTCTTCGGATTAGAAGTCTATAAATTCTTCCTGATAAAAGCCCCCTCTCTAATAATAATCAGTTTCCCCATAATCAATAAACTAGACAAGGCTCTCTATTAAACGCCCACTCAAATATTCCCAAACTAACCAAAAGGAAGTCGTTCACCAGCATTAGCTAAATAATGGTTGCAGAATAATAATAAAAAAATTAACAATATTTTTAAAAAAATCTTCATTGGATAAATTATTGAAATTTTGTGAAAATTTTTTTTTATTTTTTGGAAGAATGATTAAAAGCTTTTTAAGGCAAGAGTAAGAATAATTCCGTCATTTAAATAAAAAATATTTTTTATAATTCGTTAAACTGACTAATATATTTATTTAATAATAATTTTATTATTCATATTTCCAGCATTTTAAAGTGCTAAAGGTTAATATAAAATTGAAAATTTCAAAAAAATTTTCTAAAAAGGAAGTTAAAACAAACAGGAAACTTGAAGAAAGCAGGGACTGAGGGAATCTCTTGGACGACATCTTTTTTGGTTATGAACCAATTTAAATAAATTATATACCAATCGAGAGCTCTGATTTTGCTTATTATTTTTGCTAGCGAGACTGTTTTGATTAGACCTCATTAGTAGAAGTTAGAGAAGGAAGAAGGCTAAAAATACCGATTTTCTGTACTTAACGAGTTATAACTTTTTAGTAAATGCTCCGATCTGATCAATCCCAACACAAAAAAGAACAAGCACATTCAGGGCTTTCGAATGATCCAAAAATTAAAAAAATCGGTTACAACAAAAAAAGTTATGGCTAAAAAATCGGGACACAATGGACACAACTCTAATGTCCTCGAATAATTCCGGAAAAATTAAAAGGCGGGAAAAGGCCATTTGAAAATTCCGTTTTTCTTCTGTTTTCTCTGTCGTATTCTCTTTTAACTTCTATCGATCCTTCTAATTTTTTTTTCTTTTGCGCAAAATGCTCTAATTTTTTGATTTTTTTAATTAATTTTAATTAAATTTTTTTTAATTTCAGTACATTTAAATATTTAATTTTTTATTTTCAACTGCCTTAATGTCACAACAAAAAGACCAATTTCCAACTACAAAAAAGGTTGAGTTAAAATTTTATTTAGTAGGATATTTTTGACGTTTGTAAAAGTCAGTAAAATATTTGCTGATTTTTTACATGTCCGCAGATGTCTAAAATTGTCTATAAAAAATCTGCGGAGGTTTGCGGACACATTCTAAAAAAGTCCGCAAATTTATAATTGTCCGCAAAATTTTTGCGGACAAAAAATTTTATTTGACGTATTGAAAAATTAGTAAAATATTTTCGGATTTTTTTACCTGTCCGCAAATGTTTTAAAATTGTCCGTAAAAATCTGCAGAGGTTTGCTAACACATTCTAAAAAAGTCCGCAAATTTCAAATTTTTGTCCGCAAATTTTTGCGGACAACTTTGTAAAATATTTCTAACGTCTTGAGATGTCAGCAAGATACTTGCGGATTTTTTACGTGTCCACAAATGTCTAAAATTGTCCGTAAAAACCTTGGTGTATTGCGGACACATTTTAGAAAAGTCCGCAAAAATTTTAAATTTTGTCCGCAAATTTTTGCGGACAAAAAAAATTTTTTTTCACAACTTCAATTTATCAAACCCCTTGTAAAATAAATTAACTTTGGTCTAATTTTTTTCTTTTTTTCAGTGGAAGGCCTTATTAAAACTTTTTTGTGACAACATCCCCCAAGCTACCAACTTCAGCCTCTTCTTTCCCTACCAAAACACCTTCACTGGAGGGGAAGCACAATTATGTATTTACAAAATTTCGCCTCAATTTTTTGAGAAAGCAAATTGCACGATGCTAACCGCTAAAAATACTTGCTGTTCTTATTTAAAGTTTAAATATATTTTGAATGCGAAAAATGAGAGGGATTTGGTGTTTGACGAGAAGATGTTGTACAGGTTTTTATTATTATTTTTTTTAATTTTTTGGGGGGATTTTGAGGGGGGGGGGTTTAAATATATTTAATTTACTTGAACTTTCTTTACTTGGACATCCTTTCCTAATTAGAATAAATAGAAAAAATTTTTAAGAAAATGAAAAATTTTTTTTAAAATCCGCAAAAAATTTTTCTGTCCGCAAATTTTTTGCGGACATATTTTTATGGCTAATTTAACTAATAAACCCTCACTTTTATCATTTGAAAGGTAAATCCTTTAGGATAATATCACTATTTAGGTGGAAACATATCCTGCATAAATATCCGCAAAAAATGTCCGCAAAAATTTTATTTTTTAAATTTAATAAATAAATATTCCAAATTTATATTTTATTCAATTTTGTACCAATTTAACTTCACTTGCCTTTGTTTAAACTTTTTTCGGGTATAAAATTTAAAAATCCGCAGAAATTTTTAAAAATCCGCAATATTTTTGCGGACATGACATTTGATCCCAATTTTTAGATTTTTTTCTTTTTTATTTTTTAGATTAAACTGGCCTATAATTAATGATGAATTAGAGGGGTTTGAGTTGGACCATCTTCCTTCCAGTTCTTTTACGGCTTCCAATTCAGTCAGAAGAGCCAGTTCTTTAAGAAGTTCTGAAGACACTGAAGGAAGGGAAACACCTGTAAGTTTGTGAAAATTTGAAATTATTTTTAATTTTTGTGCTGATTTGACTAGCTTTTTTACCTTTTAAATTAAATATTGGGAAAGGTTTAGAAAGAAATTTTTGCCAAAAATTTTTCGAAAAAAAAATTTTTTTCTGACTAGGGAGGGGATTTCTGGAGCTATCCCCTTGAAAATTTCCTGTCCTTACAATTAGAATTATTTTTCTTTAATTTATGTAAAATATAAAATTTGGTCCTTTAAGACATTTATCTTACACCTTTCTATACCGTTCATATTTTTAAATAATTTTATTTTTAAGTAATTTTGTTTTGTCCGCAAGTGTTGTCCGCAAAAATTTGCGGACAAAATTTTTGCGGACAAAACAATTTTTTCTCATTTTTCTTATCCTTCAGGTTTGCAAAAAATCCACATCTGTAAGAGATTTGGTTGGAAGCTTCCTAAGCAGATCCTCATCCGAAAGAAGATCTCCTAGCCCAGCAATAACAAATAAAAGAAGTGACCCTAAATTTTTGGACAAAAATGTTTTAAAAGAAAACAACAATTCAACAAATACTTCAAGAGGATACAATTTTAATAATAAGCCAAAAACCTCAAAAAGTATTTGGACAAATGATTATAATCGACAATATAGAGAGGTGAGGTTTGAAAAAAAATTTTTAAGAGGAGGGGAGGGAGGGGGAGGGATGTCATTGGGTAAAGGGAAAAAGTTGGGTAGGACTTTGGATCGAAAAATTGTCCAGGCTTTAGATATGGGAATGTGGATAACTCACGATATCCCTGGCGTAGGGGACAAATTCATATAAGAATTTTTAAAATATAAAAAAAAATTTTTTAGGGAAGGGAGGAGGGGAGGGATGTCACTAGTAAAGGAGAAAAAAAGTAGGGTAGGATTTTGGATCGAAAAATTGTATAGGGTTTTTTATCAAATTTCGAATACCTCGTGACATCCCTGGAGTGGGGGCCAAATTTGTAAAAAAAAATTTTTGTAAGACGTCCGCAAGTTTTAAAAGTTGTCCGCAAATTATTTTTTTAATTATATTTTATATTTTTAGAAAAGACCTGCTTCCGCTCAACGGGTAATAAATTTAATAATATTTTTGTTACGGTTTATGAGTCCAAAAATTTAATTTTCAGCCTAGAAAAAAAGAATTTTTTAATAGGACCCATAAACTAATATAGAGCCAAAATAAAAATTTATTTTAGAATTTTAAAATTATTTTTACCCTTATTTTAATTTTACGAATCCAACGATTAAATCGGGATGGAGGACTCGATCCGGGAACTTTTTTTGAAAGGAATTTTTTTGACATTATTTTTTTAACCCTTTCAATTCTTGCTGTAGAGCCTTAAAAATAATAATTTTTTCCTCTGATTGGACTCATAAACTATTATAGAGCCTAAAACCTTTAAATTGTAACTGAATCGGGTTGGAAAAAATTTAAGTTTGATAGGATTCATAAACTAGTATTTATCAGAGAGGGAAGGGTTATTCTAAACTCGATCCGAAAAAAAAAATTTTTTCTGAAAACCTCGTTCCTAACCCCAAACCTGATTCTTTTCCTCAACCCGTTCTTTTCTTCAACTAATGTAGAGCAGGTATAGGAACGGATAATTTTTACTCTGATCCGGTAAAAAAATTTTTTTTTTAAAACCTCGTTCCAAAACCCCAAACCGGATTCTTTCAACTCTTCTTATCCCTGCTCTAGAGCCCAATCAGAAAAATAATAATAAATTTTCTCTGATTGGACTCATAAACTATTATAGAGCCTTAAAACTTCTAAAATTTATTATTATTTGTTTTAGCCTTGTTCAGTTAATTCCTCTCAAAACTTTTCTTTTTGTAAACAAATAAGCAAATTAGAATACCAACAAGAATCTAGCAATAAACAACAATCCAAACATTTATCAACACTTTTAGACTCGATCATTTATGATCAAAATTTGAGTGAAAATGAAAAAGTTGTTAAATTAAGAGATGTAAATTTTTTAATTTAATTTTATTTTTGTTAAATTACGAGGGGAGGAGGGAAGTCTATAAATTTTAGCAAATAAATAGCAGGGTTGCCGCGGGTATAAAAAATCTTCGGGTATCGGGTTGGAGCGTTTTCATTTCGGGTCACGGGTACAAAAAAAGGCCGGGGATATGTCTAGGAGGATATGTCTACTTGAGGGGATATGTCTAGGACGGAGATAAGTTAGAAAAGAGGGTGTGTGTGAAATGTGTCAAAGAGAGTAATCATCATGATTTTATCCATCTCCGACATATATCAAATTTGGGGAGGGGGGAGCATTTCAGAGAGAGTGGTATATCGAAGAGTAATGTGTGTGTTGGATATCAAGGCGATTTTAATAAGCTAAAGACAAAATTTGGGCGAAAGGTAAAAAACACACTTTTATTGGATATGTCATAAAAAAATGACTACCCTCCTCTTACATTTCCCAAATATTTTTATTTGGGAGTCTCGACATTTTTCAATAAAATTTTTTTTTGTTTCAGTTCAAAATAGCTTACCCAACAATATATCAGGCAAAATTTGGTAAAGAAAAATTAAATGATACTCCAAAAATTAATAATTTATCTTCAATTAACAACAACAATTTATTATTAAAAAATAATAATGAAGCAGCAACAACAACTTCCTTAAGCAAGAATTTTAAGAAAATTATTTTTTAATTTAGAAGAAGAGGGAAAAAAATTTTTTTGTTAGAAGGAAGGTATGAGGGGAAGATTTTTAAAAAATTTATTTTATCAATAAAAAATTAATTTATTTTCAGGGATATTTTTATTTAAAACTTTTTTTTCTTGTTGTCTAAAACGACTACATACATATTTTTATTTCACTTAAATTTTATTTTTAATTTTATTTTTGATTTTATTAGTGTTTTGGTAAATTATTTAGAATAAAAAAACACTTAAAATACGGAGCAGTTCAGTTCAGAGTAGTAATGGGAGAAAAAAGTCTGGGCTGGTTTTTAGTCGAAAAAAGGCAGGGTTTATATGGTAACCCATCCCTGGTTCAGACTATATAACTCATGGAGAGATGGTCACTTCTTCGTGTTCTTGGTACCATTTGATAGAGAATTAAAAGCACTACAAAATACCAAAAAATCAGAATTTTCGACTGATTGATAAAAAAAGTAGTGATTGAAAAACTAACTTTTTTTCAAAATAATTGTGATTTTCGGCACTTTATCGATCATAACTTTTTTATTAATCAGTCAATTGTTTTATTTTTTGGTAGCTTGTAGAGTATTTAATTCTTTATCGAATGGTATCAAGAACACTAGAAAGTATAGGCTATTTCATAAGTTATAGGTGCTGGGACTTGACTGAGTTGGGACTCCATGAGATGTACCCCTTAAAATATTAATTTTTTCTTTAATTATATTTTAAAATTAATTTTAAAAGTCAATTTAAAAATAAATTATTTTTTGGATTAATTTTACTCTATTCTTATTTATTTTTGAAGAAAAAAAAATAAATTGTAAACAGACACACAAAAAAATTCCTTCACAAAGAGTGACATTATTTATTAAGTAAAAATTTATTTTTAATTTATTTTTATCAATTTTCTTATCATTTTAATGAATTAATTAATTTTCTCTCTCCCTTTTTATAAATTAAAAAAAAATATAGAAAGAGTAAATTACATTCTATAATTAATTCTTCAACGCATTTTTGCAATTAAAATTTTATTTTAAGTGTTTAACTGTCTTTTCTCCTCTCTTCCATTTTTAATGAGAATTTGTGAAGCTTTCTCTTTCATCCCTCCTTTTTCATCTCTATACCACAGAAGACTAACGAAAAAAATTTTCTGATTAGTAAATTTCATAAATTGGACACTTTTGATTAGAGATCGAGATTTTTGAAAAGCCTGGACCTGTTCCTGGACTCTATGTTTGATTTCTTGACATGGACGGGATCCTGGGCCTGTAGTCCAGGAAAAACCCAGGAAGGTCAAAAAATGCCTGGACTCTGGGTACAGGAAAAACCCAGGAAAAAACCAGTTTGTTGGTTAAAGGAAGGGGAAGAAGAGGAAAAAAGACCAGGCCTTGGTCCAGGCCCAGCTCAATCTCTACTTCTGATTAGTGACCGGCAAAACCGACTTTGCCACTCCAGGATTCCGGGTTTGTAACTTTAACCGGATCCGGCCTGAATGTTTTGGATTAATCCGGTCTGGTTTTTAATCCTGTAAAAATTCTGATATTTTAAGTTCTGATAATTTTAAGTTCTGATAATTTTTAAATATTTCCAGACTCAAACACCCCTTTTTAAAATAATTTACTCTTTATTCTTTAATTTTGCTTTAATCAATTTTTATATATTCGCTTCTTCAAAGTCTTATGCTTCCACCCGGCTGTCTGTTAAAGCTTTATAATCAATAATCCCTTATTTTTTATTTAGGGTGTGCGCAAAAAAAAACGCCAAAATAATTTTTAAATCTCAAATGACCGAAATGTCAACTTGACGAATTTTTAAAAATGTCAAAATTACAAAATGGTCAAATAACAAAACATATTTCATACTCAAATCAGGCCAGCCTTTTTGCCTCATTTATAGGGCATTTGCCCTATTTTTGGCCGATTTCGCCCTATTTTTGAGTGGCTGTGCCCAATTTTAGTGTTTTGGAAAGTACAAAATGGTCAAATGTCTTATTGTTCATTTGTCAATAATATAAATATCTAAAATTTTGCCAAAAATTTGCCAAAATGGCAACTTGCCAAAACGGTCAAAAACACAAAAAAACACTTTCAATCCCCCCAAAATGACGTAAAATCGAGACATAAAACATTTAAAAACTAAAATTTATTTTCTTTCTTTTTCCCTCTAACATTTTTATTGCCAGTCGAGAGAAAATGTCGCACGTTTTAAAAATGTTTTTTGCCCCCACATATACGCGTGCGTGTTAATTTTCTCTCTTTTCTTTTTTATATTTTCTTTCTCTCTTCTTTTTTTCTTTATTTTTTTCTCTCTCCTCTTTTCCCTCTCTCCTTTTGGAATATAATTTCAGACGTAAGCAACACAAAATAAAAAAAAATTATTTTTTTTTTATAAAGCTTAACATTCGCTACAACTTTAAAGCTTTAGTTTTCATATTTTTTTTATCAACAACCCTCTATTCACTTTCATTTTCAATCCTTTTCCATCCCCCTTTTTTTTATTTTTTATTCCCCTTCAAGTTGGGAACATGCGTAAGTTGCGTGTAGTGGGTTGAGTCCAACCCTCATAACTTTTTTATGGTTAAAGCTTTTGGAATGGTTTTGGTATTGTTGGATAGAGCATAAAATAGGCTATAAATGAGGATAATAAAAAATTTTCGAGTTAATAAAGAAAAAAGTTATTGAGAAAATATAGGCGTTTTTGGGATAAAATGTCCGATTTTTGAGGTTTTTTATTTTTTAAATTTTTCCTTACTGATCTAAAATTTTTCTTTCTGTTCTAATTTATAGGAAATTTAATTCTCTATCGAATGATACCAAAACCTTATCAGAACCCTTACCCATCCAAAAGTTATAGGGTCGAGAAAATATAGGCGTTTTTGGGATAAAGTGTCCTATTTTTGAAGTTTTTTATTTTTAAAATTTTTCCTAATTAATCCTAAATTTTTGTTTCTGCCCTCGTTTGTAGCAAATTTAATTCTCTATCGAATGATACCAAAACCTTTAGAAAAACTTTATCCATTCAAAAGTTTTGGGGTCTAGACTCTACTATACCCGGCTGTCTCCTCTTATCCACGCGACCGTTCTCCCCCCTTTTCCCTCTCCTTTCCCTACACATTTTTTTTTATTCTTTCACCTAGTAATTGTCAGTCACATTCACCCCTTTTCATTTTTTTATCTTCCTTACAAACGTTTTATGGCGGCAAAACTCCTCTATATTTTTTTTGCTCCCAGCTGCGCTTTATCTTTATTCTCTCCCCTTGTTTTTTTTGCCTTGGCCAATCCTCAGCTTTTTATTTTTATTTTCTCGGGTCTAAAATCATAATTCTAATGCTACACCGTTATTTTATATTTTTTAAACAAGCCTTTATTTTTTTACTAAACAAGCCTCTTTTTCATTAAAAGCTTTTTCATTTCAGAGCTAACCACTGTTTTTGTGTGGTTGGCGTTTTTTGGATTAAACGCCAAAAATAATTTTTTGACGTGTTCTTCTACTTATTTTATATTAATTTTTATTGCCTGGGGGTATCAGAATTTTAAAAAAATTTTCAGAAAAAATTTCAGAAAAATTTTTCAGAATTTATTGTCTTTGGCGTTTTATAAAAAAAATTTTTTGGCGCACACCCTTGAAAAGATAAATGTTTTTATTTTTTGTTATTTTGCCGCTGTCATACCAACGAGAGTGAGTGAGTAAATGGAATGTTTTTAAGCTTTTGATTTTTTTATCTAACTACTTTACATTAAAAATAAGATAAATACCCCCTATAAAGCTCTTAGAAGCACCAAATTGACATACTGTTTGTTTTTTTTAATTTTAAATAAGTGGTGAAAAGCAAAAACAAACCATTTTTAATGTTTGCTTGATAAGAAGATAATATTATTTTTTTAATAAATAGTCTGTAAATAAGCTAGAGACAGGTGAAAGAATTTATTTCCTACCCCACTTACTCATAGAGGGAAAATAATTTTATTTTCAGTTTTACAATTATTTAAAATAAAGTTTTATTTAAGTTTACAATTAGGTTTTTTAAAGTTTTACAAATTCAAGTTTTACAATTTGATTTTTAATAATTGCAAAACTTTACTATTAATAAAAACTTTAATTTGTAATGACGTTAAAACTTTAATTTTCGCAAATTGTAAAACTTAATTGTAAAATAAACTTAATTTTAATAATTGTAAAATTTAAGTTTATTTAAAGTTTTACATTTATTACAAATTCAAGTTTATTTAAGTTTACAATCAGGTTTTACAATATGTTTAAATTCAATTTGTTAAAATTTCAAGTTTTACAATTTGACTTTTAATAATTTTAAAACCTTAAATAAAAACTTTAATTTGTAATAACGATAAAACTTTAATTTTTACAAATTGTAAAACTTTATTGTAAAATAAACTTTAATTTTTACAAATTGTAAAACTTAAGATTACAAATTCAAGTTTTACAATTATCAATAATATGTAATTGTAATCTATCCTTTTTAAACTCTTCAAGTGTTGCTTAAAAGGAATGTTCCTTCCCGTATATTCTTATGATCCGTAGTCTTGTGTTTTTTTATCATCCCTTTTAAATTTTCCCTAGGACATTACAAAACCCTCAACATTAAGCAATATTTTTTGATTTTTAAAGATAGTTCCGTTCACACACTTAAAAAATGTGAATATTAAATGAATATAAGAGAAAATTAATTTTTCACAATAATTAATGTGTATTTTTTTCTTTTTTTGATTTTTATGTTGTAATAAAATAAAAGACTTTTAATGAGAGAGACAGTTAAAAGTTTAATAAAATGTTTTTAACACTTCTAACAGGTTTGGAGTTAATAAAACTACCCTTCACCGCTTTTCTATTTCTTCAATGAAAATAAATTGTTAATAATTGTAAAACTTTTAAGATTGTAAAAAATTTATTTGTAAACATTATTTTATATCCTAATTGTGGAACCTTAATTTGTAATAATTTAAAACTTGAGTTTTTGATAATTGTAAAACTTAATTGAAAAATAAACTTTAATTTTAATAATTATAAAACTTAAGATTACAAATTAAAGTTTTACAATTATTAAAACTTATTTGTAAAACTTTAATTATAAAGATAAATTAGTTGTAAAACTTAACTTCTTTTTTTGATAATTGTAAAACTTAAATGTTTAATAATTGTAAATTTTTAGTTTTTTAATTTTTTTGTTTTAGATATTTTAAGAATATATATTTAATATTTATATTTATTTAATACATACAACTTATGACGCTCGTATTTACATTTATTAAAATAAAAAAAATTTTTTAGAGCTTTGTTTATTTTAATATTTAATTTATATTTATTTAAATGTTACCTTTATATTTTAAATAAATTAAATAATTTTTTTCTATTTTTGCCGTTTTATTTTTTTTATTTTTTTTACCATTTTTGTCTTTTCTTTAAAAAAATATTTCAATTATTTTTAATTATCAACTTTACTCTATATTTTAATATAAATATTGTAGCTTTAATGCTTACTTATACATTTAATCTTAAAACTTTAATTTTTAATTATTACAAATTGTAAAACTTTTATCTTTTATTATTACAAATTGTAAAATTTAAAGTTTTAGGTTTTACAAATTGTAAAAATTGTAAAATTCATGTTTTACAATTTGTAAAAATTAAAGTTTTAGGTTTTACAAATTGTAAAATTTAAAACTTTAATTTTCTCTAATTGTAAAACCTAGACTAATTTTTACAAATTGTAAAACTTTAATTTTTAATTATTCCAAATTGTAAAATTTTTATTTTTAACCTTTACAAATTGTAAAACCTCAATTTTTATTTATTACAAATTGTAAAATCTCAAGTTTTACAATTTGTAATAGTTAAAGTTTTAGTTTTACAAATTCTAAAATTTTTATTTTTAATTTTTTCAAATTGTAAAACCTAAAACTAACTTTTACAAATTGTCAAACCTTAATTTATACAAACTTAAAAATTTATTTTTAACGCTGTAGAGATCATTTAATTAATTAATTTTTTGGTTCAATAAATTTTATCTTTTAACAAGTTTTTAAGTAATTAATTAGACATTTGTATTTATTCAAAATATTTTTACAACATTAAATATTTAATTAATGGAGTTTTTAATTTTATAATGTTTAATTAATTAATTAAAATTAGTAAATGTTCCACATATTTACTCTTTTAATTAAAATTTGTGAAAATATTTTTCCTATTTTTTATGTTAAAAATATTTTTTTTTAAAAATTAAATTCCTTTACATTTTTTTAAATTATCCACTAATTACACTTTAATTCCCATCATTTTCATTCCTTTTTATTTTTTTTAGAAAATATTTTTACATTTTTAAAGGGTAGTCTAATTTTCTTTTAACTGTTTTATAGACTTTTACAATCAAGAACAATTAATCCCTAAGGTATTGAGAAATATAAATATAGGCAGTATTTTTGAGTAGTCGTCTTGTGAAAAAATAAGTAGAATTGTGAGAAATTGTAATTTTACAAAAAAAAATTTTTACAATTTTTATTGAGAAGATAGGAAGGATTCATAAGGGAGGAGACTTTCTTAAACTTAAAAAGCTTTCCCAACTTTTCCGTTAAAACATAAGATTGTAAACTTAAAGTTTAGACATTAAATTCTTAAAATTCTCAACTACTATTGGGAAAAAGAAAATTTTCTCGATTATTTTAATCCAAATCCTTTCAAAATAAAAACCAAAAAATCCTTCAATTTCAATCAAAAAAATTCAAAAAATTCTGAAAGAATTCAGATCGTCTCTTCTTATTAATTTCTAATTTTAAATTTTTTTCCTCAATTTTTTTTTGAATATCTTACTAATTATGTCTTTATATTTAACGAATAGACTAAGGGTAATTTCATAACTTTTAAAATATTTTTAATTTTTTTCCCTAAATATTTGACCTTTTTAATTATTTTATTTGCGTCACTAAATTATTTTTAATTTTTATAATATAAAATTTTTAGTTATTTAAATATTGAGAAAATTATTATAATATTTTTAAGAAATTTTATTTCTTCGTTAAAACAACAACTAAATGTTTTTTAAATTAAATTTAATGCAAGCTTAAGAGAAAAAGCCTGAACTTACAAACTTTAAAAGAAAGTTGTAGGAAAGTTGAGATTGTAAAATCAAAGTTTTATTTATTTTCCCTCCCTCTTTTTTACAATTTTACAAATGCATCAAATTAAAATTTCAACATGTTTATTTGTTTTATTACAACTTTGTTTAATCATTTCTTTTTGTTCTTCCCAACAATTACAACAAATAAAAAGGCATTCGTTTAGAGAAACGTGTGTTGACGAACATGATAAAGTAAGGGAAATATAAATAAATTTACAAACTTGAAAAAGTTTTAAGCTTACACATGAAAAGTTTATAAGTTGAAACTTAAGTTTGCAAGACTTAAAACTTGAAAAGTTGAGTTGTAAAATTAAACATTTTCAAGTTTGCGCTTGAAAATGTTTGTAAACTTGAAAAATTAAAGTTTTATTTTTAGGAAAAGCGCAAACTTGAAAAAGTTTTTAAATTTAAACTTAAATTTTGAAAACTTAAAACTTGAAGGGTTGAATTTTAAGATTAAACTTGAAAAAGTTTGCGTAGGGAAAAGTTAAATTGTAAAATTTAAGTTTTATTTATTTGGTGAAATCGCAAACTTGACAAAAACACAAACTTTTTCTTTGACTTACTAACTTGAACAAAAAAGTTTTTATTTTTCAGGATCTCATTTCTTGTATAGTCTCTGCTGGTTTGTAATTTGTAAACTTTATTAAATATTTATTTGCCCTTTTAAAGTTGATTGTTCCATAAATATTGAAAAGCTTTTTCCTCCCCCAACTAACAACAATTTTCCATCGGAAGCACACGATTTAAGAATTGAACCTTTTACTAAAGCAACCCCACATAATGGGGTAAAGGAAGGAAATGAAAGTAATGATCATCAACAACATCATCAATTACATGTTGATATTTCCTGGCAAATACCCCCAAATAGTAAGGGAGAGGGGAATTGAGGGGAATAAACTTGTGTTATTTTTACAGATTCTACAAAAGCATTAAAAGGTTTTTTGTTGGAAATTGATGGAGAAAATGGAAGAAAACATGCCTGTTTTTTATTAAATGTATAAAAAAAATAATTTTAAAAATCAACTAATTTTATTTTAAAAAATTAAGGTTTCAAAAACTGTGTGGAGTAGTGAAAATATTGCTGCTTCGGTTAGTAATAAACCAAAATTTCTTATTTATTTTTGTTTAATTTTAGCCACGTCTACACTTTTCTACTGATTCGCTTTTTAATTTTGGGCAGAGCTACCAAGTTGAATTATTCAGGTAAAATAAATGTTTTTTGAGGGAGAATAGAGAATAATTGTAAAACAAGTTTATTTTTCGACATCAATAATTGTAAAACATGTTTATTTAACAATATGTATTTATGCAACAAAAACAAGTTTATTTTATTTTAAAATAAACTTGTTGTGAAACAAGTTTATTTTTCAAGTTTGTGAAACAAGTTTGTTTTATGAGTAAAATAAACTTGTTTTGTCGCAAATATATAAAAATAAACTTGTAAAAATAAAACAAGTTTATTTATCAATTACTGACAATTGTAAAACAAGTTTAATTAGCAAGTTTATTTATGCAACAAAAACAAGTTTCTTTTATTTTTAAATAAACTTGTTGTAAAACAATATTTATGCAACAAATTATTTTTAAAATTATTTTTTAAAATAAAACTTGTTTTACAACAAGTTTATTTTAATATAAAATAAACTTGTTTTTGTTTTTCAACTTGTTGCAAAACAAGTTTTATTTTAAAAGTTTGTTTTAAATATATTATCCCCTACCCAAGTGATCAACTAACATATTTTCCAATAATTTTCAGTTTGCCAGAACGTAGTGCCGGTTTAGGTGCCTCAGTCCACAATCAATTCAAAACTCCCCACCATCCTAGCGGTTCAGAAACAAATGCTTTAAATCAACAACTAATATCTCCAAATTGTACAAAAGTTGCAAACCAATTCGCCTCAAAGTGGACAGCTGGTTTTAGACACATTTATGTTCACTCGGCTGCGCGTATTTTGCAAGTTGAATTTGTTGGGGCTCCTCCACAATTTTGTTTTGAACAATATGAGGTATTTAATTATCGGGAGTGTTAATAATTGTAAAACAAGTTTATTTTCTGAATTGTAAAACAAACTTTCTCAATTGTGAAAGTTTATTTTTCAAGTTTATTTAAAAATTGTAATTTTTTACAAATTGTAAAACAAGTTTTAATTTTTTTACAAATTCCAAAACAAGTTTTAAATTTTTTTACAAATTGTAAAACAAGTTTAAAATTTTTTTACAAATTGTAAAACAAGTTTTAAATTTTTTACAAATTGTAAAACAAGTTTTAAATTTTTTTTACAAATTGTAAAACAAGTTTTTCATTTTATTTTAAATTTTATTGTAAAACAAGTTTATTTTTCGAGTTATTACAAATTGTAAAAAAAGGTTGCAAAAATTTAATCGTAAAATAAGTTTATTTTAGAAAGTTTGTAAATGGTTAGAGTATTATTTACCGTATTCACAATATACCGAAAGGGGAATTATTAAGGGGAAATGAGAGAATAAAAAGCCTACATATTTTCATTTTAAAGGTCAGACTTTTGGACGAAACTGGTCAAGAACTACTCTACTTTGGTGTTGTACCAGTTGAAGAAATGCAAAAGAGTGGAAGCCTAATTTTTGGAACTTATAATTTTACTAATTTAGAGGTGACAGAGAATTTTTTAGGATTTAAAAATTTTGATTTTTTAGTATGATAAAAATTACATTCCTTCTGTAATTCCTGTAGAGAGGGCAGCAGATGGTCGTTGTTTATGTCCAGTTTCCGGAAAGCCTTATGATGCGACTGCTGTATGTTCTTGTGTAGCAGCTGATTGGCACTCTGTTAGAATGACTCGTGAGTTTTAGATACAAAGATTATTTTAATAGAGAGACTATTGAAATGTTTTCCGTTAATTGTTTTCTGGAAAATATTATTACATATTTGTATTTTCATAGTTAATGTTAATACAAAAAGGTTCCGGAAAATACTATACAGTTCCGGAACATATAAATATTTCCGGAAAATAGAAACATTTCCGGAAAATATAAACATTTCCGGAAAATTATTTAATTAAAGAAAATGTGTTTTTATTTGTATTTTCCGGAAAATTAAACAAATTTAATTCTATTAAAAAATAATTCTTTAAGGTCCTGATGTCCTCAAACTCTGTCCTGGCTGTCCTTCTCAAAACGACACCCTTGCTTTATTATCACCTCCAGTCAGCTACGAAAATTCTTTGCGAGATCAAGGGAGTAATTCGACATTATGGTAAAAAATACATTTTTTACCTTAAAAATTTTTTTTATTTTTTAAAGGATTCTTTTGTTGGTTTTTAATTGTTTATTTTTGCTACTAATTTTCCTTCTAATTGCCGCCTACCTCCGTTGTCGCATTTTTGGCTCCGCCCCCTACAAGAACCAGTTCAGGCGTATCCGGTTTATACCCACAACAAATACACAACAACAAAATCATTGTTTACCCCAAATATCCAAAAGTTCTCCACCAACCTCTCTCGCTGTTTGTACCAACTTGGCACTCGGGACAGTCTCTACTAGCTGTAACTCGTCCTTAGCGGTGCCGTTAATTTCTAGTGAATCCGAAGAAAGTGATGAACAAAAGAAGGGAGAATGGACAAATCTAACATTATTAATTATTTATTCTCATGATTGTAAATTGCATGAACAAGCAGTGTTGGCATTAGCAGAGTTTTTGAGAGATCGTTTTGGTATTAATGTAAAGGTAATGTATTTTGTGTTTTTATTTTTTTGGAGGATAGTAAAATATTTATGTGTATTTTCCGGAAAGTGTGGAATAATGATTTAATTATAAATAGTTTCCGGAAAAATTTTCCGGAAACTATTATTGAGTTGTTTAAATTGGGTTTATGCATATTGTGTTTTCCGTAATTTCCGGAAGTTGAAGAATTAAAAATATATATCGTATATACTCTATTAATTACCCTGGGTAATTATCGTTTCAACCTCTCTCTGGAGGGGGTAATTAATCGAGAGGATGGGCTAAATTTTGGGTATATCTCAATAAATCGAAAAGGAAATCCATTTATTTTTTGATATTGATTCTTATAATGTTTCAATAATTAAAATTGACAACAATTTTTTCAATATTTTTGAAATTATAGAAGGAAAGGGAGGGGGTAATTATTAAAGAGGGTAATTATTTGAGGGAGGGTAATTAATAGAGTATATACGGTATTTATTAAATTGTGTTTTTCGGAAAAATACTAAATTCAGGATATAGGTATTTTACTATTTAAAATTGTATTTTCCGGAAAATAATGAAGATGCATATGTCCGGAATCTATCAAAATTGTGTTTTCCTTATACCATAAAAATATTTTCGGAAAATACATGATAATATAGGATTTTAATATAATTTCCTTTATTTTTCAGTTAGACCGTTGGGAAACAACTCAAATTGATTCTAACCTAACCGATTGGCTGTCATCTTCAGTAATTTCTGCAGACAAAGTTTTAATCATCAATTCTGAAGGCGCTTGGGAGCGTTACTTGGCTAAAATAAATTCTCATAGTCATTGGGTTTTGGAACGTAATGATAAAGGTCTACTTGACCATCTCTTTTTAGCTCATATTGACCTGGCTCTTCAGTGAGTAATTTAATTTTTTTTGTAATAATATTATTGCCGGAAACAAAAAATTATTATTTGTTTATTTTTCTGAAAAGGTTTAACTCTAATTCATGTGTTTTCCGGAAAATAAGAATAATGTTATTATTTATACTTTTTCCGGAAAATACTAAGTGATAACATCTTATTTTCCGGAAAGCACAAATTATAGTTATATATTTTCCGGAAATAGTTAATAGTATATTCAGAAAATAATATTTTCCGGAAAAACAATTTCCGGAAAAATATAACTCTAATTTTTGTGTTTTCCGGAAAACACAAATTATAGTTAGATATTTTCCGGAAATTGTTTAATTCTATATTCAGGAAAATAATATTTTCCGGAAAACAGGTTAGCGTTATATACTTTTTCCGGAAAAACTTTTTCCGGAAAAATATAACTCTAATTTGTGTGTTTTCCGGAAAATACATATTATTATCCTGAATATACATACCATTAAACAATTTCCGGAAAATGTATATTTTAACAGGTTAATTTATTATATTTTCCCCTTTTCTTTCCAGGCATCATTCAATCGTTTCTACTCGTTTTGCTTTTTCAAAGGCAGAAAAAACTTTACCGTTGCTTCAGGGACGTCTGCAATATATTCTTCCTGATAATATTAGTCCTCTTATTTCTGCACTTTTTGGACAGAATTTGCGACAGGATGAACGACTCAATTCTTCTTCATTATCAGAATATTCACAATTTGTTAAATTGAAAGAATGTGTTAAAGAAATGAGTGAATTTATTAAACAAAAGCCTAATTGGTTTGCTTTGAGTCACTCAAAGATAACAACGATTGTTGATGAAAGAGAAGAAAAAGGTGAAGAAAAAGGAAGAAAAGTGGAAGAAAAGAAAGAAGAAAAAATAAAAATTGAAGATAAAATTAAAATTGAAGAAAATTCAGAAATGTCAGAGGAAGAAGAGATATCCTCTGAAAAACGAAAAGATACTATTGGAGAAAGTAGTGGAAGCAGTACGGCTAAACTTGATAGTGGAATATTTGATTGGACTGGTAATGAAGAGGAAATGGCTAGCAATAATAAAGTTATGAGTGGTGAAATACAAAAGCAAACAAATAATTGGTATAGTATTTGTTAAACAATTTCCGGAAAATAATAATATTACTTACAATTTTCCTGAAAAGTATAACTCTAATTCATGTGCTTCCCGGAAAATATTAATATTATATTAAACCATTTCCGGAAAATGTGTATGTGTATTTTTCCGGAAAATCTAATGTATTTTCTCAAAAAATACATTAAAAATACATCTCCCGGAATAAATATTTTTATTTTCCGGAGAAATTTTAATTATTTTCAAAACACAAAATATAATCTTTTCCGGAAAATACAATTGTATTTTTCTATAAATTAAATACATATACATTTTCCAATGTAAATTGTATTTTCCGGAAAATTTAAAAACTAAAATAATTAAAATACAAAATATTTTCAGTTCTCCACATAAACTTTCTTTACCTCTTCCCAATATTGGAGTAAAAACATTTCCGGACAGTATTAAAAGTTATAATCAGAACAGTGACGATTCAGGAATATTAACAGCAGACTCAATAAATTCAACAGATAAATTTCAACAACCAAAAAACAATTTAATAGACGAACAGAAGAGGATTATTTATTTAAGCTAACAGAGATTTGAAAAGAAATTTTTGCCCAGATTTTACAAAAAAAAATTTTTTTTAATTTTTATTTGTCATTCCCATATTTCTTTTATCCCACTTTTAACTCAAAAACAAATATTTTTTCATTCCATTTTGTCAAAAAAAAATTTTTTTCTTTCTTCTTATAATTTTTATTTTTGAAATTTTACCCATATAATTAGTAAATATGTATATTTTTTCTGTTTATTCTCGTATGCCCATATTTACTCAAATATTCTATATATTTTTTTCTAATTTTATTTTTTTGTAGTGATAAAATTACGTTTTTAAATTCTTTTCAAAATTTTTCTGGAATTTGGTAAAGGTACTATTTTAGTTCCGGAATATCAAATTTATCTTTTTTAATTTCAGAAGTATTTTTTGTTTCATAAATTTATTTTTTTCTGGAAAAGAATAAAATTTCCGGAAAAATACTGTTTTCCGGAAAACTTATTTAAAGAAAATACATTTTATATTGTTTGTGTTTTCCGGAAAACAAGTATTTTCTTTATTAACGTTTTTTTTTTATTAAAAGACAACACAAATTTATTTGTGTTTTCCGGAAAATACAACAAAAATTTATTTGTTTTCCGGAAAAGACAACACAAATTTATTTGTGTTTTCCGGAAAACACAACATAAATTTATTTGTGTTTTCCGGAAAAGTATTACCTAGAAGCAATTACAAAAAATATTTTTATTAAACTAGAAAAAATAAAAGAATACTATTCAAAATAATAAAGTCTGGTGATCAATTATAAGGTATACATATAAATTTATTTTTATAGTCTCGGAGATTGTAAAATATTGAGAATTCCTTTTCAAAAATATTAAGGAAAGTAATACAATATATTATAACTGAATTTATGGAATTAGGTATTATGGAATTGTATTTAAAAAAAATTTATTTTCCCATATATTTTTATTTTAGCCTGTTCTGTTGGCAAACAAAAAAATTAAAAACATGGAATTGATACATACTTTAAATAAATTTAGTATTTGTAGACACAAATGTTTGTTCCTATAAACATTTCCTAAGTTGTTTTCCGAAAAAATATTTAACCCTCTGTGAACAGGCCCAAAAATTAAATTATGGGAAAATTGTTTTTTTTTGGTAATTAAACTGGCTATAAGTAGTTAAAATAATTTGGGCTATAATAAGGAACTATATAAAAATATATTTTTTTATTGCGGGGATATTGTGCAGGATTCACATTTTAATACAGATTGGAATAAATACAAATTGAAGCAAAACTTATAAAATAGAAATTCCGGAAGGAAAGTTTAATTGTTTTGTTTGATAGCAAACTTCCGGAAAAAACACACGTTTATTTATTGCTACAAACATTTCTACAAAATGTGTTTTCCGGAAAACACATTTATTTTTAAATAAATAAGACATTGGAGATCGGTTTCCGGAAAAAAATAAATATTGACTGTTTTCCGGAAAATACATGAATATATAAAATACATGAATATTTCCGGAATGTGTTTTCCGGAAAATACATTTCCGACATTTCAGGATTTTAAACTTCCGGAAAATACATTTCCGACATTTCAGGATTTTAAACTTCCGGAAAATACATTTCCGACATTTCAGGATTTTAAACTTCCGGAAAATACATTTCCGACATTTCAGGATTTTAAACTTCCGGAAAATACATTTCCGACATTTCAGGATTTTAAACTTCCGGAAAATACATTTCCGACATTTCAGGATTTTAAACTTCCGGAAAATACATTTCCGACATTTCAGGATTTTAAACTTCCGGAAAATACACACGTTTATTTATTATTATTAACAATGTGTTTTCCGGAAAAACATTTGTTTTTAAATAATTAAAATATTAAAAGGAAAAGTGTTTTCCGGAAAATAAAGACCGATCAAAACTATTCCAATCTCTATTATTAAAATTAGGTATATATTTTTTCCACAAAAAATAAAAATCTGCAAAAAATTTATTTACCTTTTTCAAACACTCATTTAGGTTTATAAAGTGAAGCTAAATGTGTAAGTTGATTTCCGATATTATGATAAAATGCAGCTTGTTGAGAAAAAAAGGATCCAAACATTGTAGCAAAATCTAAATCCCGTTCAGATTGTTGATGGTTAATTTCTGCAAGCATTGAATAAGAACAAACATCCACTAAAAATTTATTTAATTTTTGAAGAAAAAATTCTTTTCATTTCTCTCACCCTTTTGTCGAATATTTTCAGCGTCTTCAGCAGATAATTTGCCTTCATTTTGGTACCTTTCATTTTCACGTATTTTAGCAAATGCTGACTACAAAAAAAATTTTTTTATTAAAAATTATATCAAAATTCACTTTATGTATATTAACAACATCGGGTATAGCCGCAAACGTTCCTTTAGCAACAAACAAAAAATCTAATAATTGTTCCAAATGTTTGTGTCCATATTCTTCGTGTTGTTCACCAATTTTATGTAAAACATGAGCACTTGTTTTTATGGCGTTTTGAACGGAAGAATTGTTTGCTAATAATTAAAACAATGTTTAGATTACTTTCTGATTGAATATGATAATGTTCAGATTAATTTCTGATTTTTAAAATTTAATTCTGATAATGTTTTTATTAAATTCTGATTTTTAAAATTTAATTCTGATTATGTTTAGATTAAATTCTGATTTTTTTAATTCTGATGTTTGGATTTAATTCTGATAATGTTTCGATTAAATTCTGATTTTATAATTGAATTATTATGTTTTTATTAAATTCTGATTTTTTAAATTTTAATTCTGATGTTTTTATTAAATTCTGATTTAATAAATTCTGATTCCATTATTCAAACTTAGTTCTAGTATTGTTGTTGTTTTCAATTTCTGATTTGTTTTTAAAATACAAGTTTGTTTTATTAATTTTTATTTCATGTTCATTTTAAATTCTGATTATTGGTCAAACAAAAAGACATTTAATTACCATTTCCCCCAATATCCAAAGACTGCCCCAGTGAATCGAAAGCAGCTGCCATCTTTTGCCAATTAGCTTTGTATGCTTTAAATAATTTTTTTAAAATTATTTAATTAATATTAATTTACGTCCAGCCATTCTTTTTTGTGTCTCAACTACTTGATCATATATTTTTCGACAACTTTCGTCAAGACTTCGTGACAAACGAGCAAATCGTTCTACGGCGGTGCCTCTAAAATTTTATGAAATTTTCAGAATTCTGATTTTAATTTCTGAGTAATTCTGGTTTTCAATTCTGGTTCCAATCAGAATTCTGATTTTAAATTTCTAATTAATTCTGATTTTGAATTCTGGTTAATACTGCCTATATCATCATAATCCCCACACTCTCTCCCCCTTCCAAACTCACACATTAGCCACATCCAAAACAACATTTGGAGCATTAACAGAAGAGAAAAAATTTCCCCCAAGATATTCATCTCGTTCTGCAAGTCTTTTTCCTTTCTTCCATTTTGTTTCGTCTGTACAAGACATAAAATGTTTCCATACTTCTGATTGGGATAATACTGGATGTCGACAAATTTTATTGACCCAAAGTTGTAGGATAGAACGGCGATGTTCGATTAAATCTTCTTCATAACGACCTTTAAATGTAAATGTTTTTCTTGTTAAAAGTTTTGTTTTAATTTAATTCTGATTTTTATTTGTTTTAATTTCTGGTTATGTTTTTATTAATTTTCTGTCTATGTTTGTCTTAAATTCTGATTTTATGTTTGTCTTAAATTCTGATTTTATGTTTGTTTAAAATCCTGATTTTTTATTTGTCTTAATTTCTGGTTTTTTATTTGTTTCAATTTCTGGTTTTTTGGTTGTTTTAAAATTCTGATGTTTGTTTAAAATTCTGGTTTAATTGTTTAAATAAATTTCTGGTAAATGTTCGTATTAAATTCTGTTGTTTGTTTGTTTATTTAAAATTCTGGTTTTTTATTTGTTTTAAGTTCTGGTAAATGTTTTTATTAAATTCTGATTTTTATTTGTTTTAAATTACCCGAAACTTGTTTCTCAGGTAATGGTGGTATTGGAATAATTAAATATTTGTTTGTCAATTGTAAGTGTAACCAATCAAATTGTTTATAACGTCGCGAAACTTGAATTCCTGTTGTTGAACATGTAAGAGAATAAGCAATAAAACTCTAAAAACATTTGCTTTTAATTATCAGAACAAAACGACGACAAACTTTAAGCCCTTTAAGTTTTGTTTCTTTTTTAGGTTTAGTCACATTACAAGTATAAAAAGTAGATGGGTTGTTCCACATAACTTGAAAAGAGGAAAAAATTTTCAAAAAAATTTTTTCTTATTTTTAAAATTTTTTTTTAATTTTTTTATTTACCTCCTTCAACTCCACCAATTCTTGCGTCCTAAAAATTAAATTAAAAAAAATTATTTTTTTTATTCGGAAAAATCAGAATTTATACCAAAATTATTTGAGGCTGTTCAACTGGAGAACAAGTAAATTTGGCTGTAGAGAGAATGTATCCTTCCATTCCAGTTTTGACAAAATTTGTAAATCTGTGAGAAGAAAAAAAATTTTTCTCAAAAACATTTTTAAAAATTTTTCAAAATTTTCACCACAAAAAACACACACCACGTACCTATTCAAATTTTTAATTCGAGTAGTTCCCCCAGTCGCTATTTGTTGTTGCTGTTGTTTATTAATTATTTGACTACCCGTTTCCGGGCCAGTAGAATGACTCCTTCCAACCATTTTATTAGTTGAATTGGTGGTGGAATCATTAGTAATTGAATGAGATGCACTTGTAAATTCCTTAAAAAAGGAGCAATTAAATTGAGAAAATTTTTTAAATTTTGAAAATTTTAAAAAATACTAGACAATTTAATACTGAAATCTAGGGTCCCCTTTCCTTTATGCTCCTCCAAAATCAGCAACTTTTATCTCCGTGTCATACACATTTAAGCATAAAATAGAAAGAAATTGAGAAAATCACGAAAAAAATACCAAAACTAAGGCTAACCAATTTTATAGGCAATTTATAATAATTTACAAATATGTTGATATATCCAGGGTCTGCCCGATCTTTTTATCAAGTCGATGAACATATTCACACAAAGGTTTAATCACGTAGGAAAAAGAACAATTAATGGTTGATGAAGGTGTCGGTCGAAGGACAGGATAAAACACTAAACACACACAGACTAAAATTTTACCTAGGTTTACACAAAGTTAGAGCGTTTCTATCAGACGCAAATATCAGCTCTATATATCGAAGTGCTCTCTAAAAATGCCACAATACTACTAACACCACATTAAAATTACACAACCACAGAACAACAACAATACAGACTTGTACAACACAAAAATTTTGTACAAACACAAGAATACAACATCACAACTACTACTAGCCTGTTTCCCCGTTGTTGTAGTATTAGTTTTACTTGTTTCACTTGAAGTTGTTAAAAGTGAATGTTGTTCTACTAAAATTGTTTTTTCTTTAAATAATTCTTCTCCTCCTCCTCCTCCTTTTTTAGTTTTAATATTTTCTTCTTTTCCTCCTTCTTCTTGTTCAGATTTATTTAAAACATCTTCAATTTGTTGCTGTTCTTTTGAAGAAGTATACTCAAATACAAAAAAAAATCCCATAAATTTATATAAGCATTCCCCAAGGGAGATTATAGTTAGAAATAGACTAAAGAATGTGGTTCATTAGCTAAAGATTTTCTTTTCTTTTTTTTCTTGTTGCTGGCTCAGCGCGCAGCCTACTACATATAAAACTCACAGAATTTATAAGGATCTCTTATTGAAATCCTCAAAAAAATTTCCTTTTTTAATCACTTAAAATGGCCATCACAGTTTCGGCCTTGAGAACGGACTAGAAAGGTTAACTCGAAAATTGCCGATTCTCAACAAACCCAGACTTTAGTTCGAGAAACATCATCTCGGTCAAATCACAGTTCCAATCCTCACAAAATGCAAAAATTAAAAAAAAATCAGAATGGAAACACAATCAAATTCATTATTAATCTTTTTAAATATACACTGATATTCTCACATTATTATTAACAACCTCCAAATTATTGTCGTTTATATTATCAAAATTAACAAGTTCCTCATTATTTAAATAAAAAGAAGTATTTGTAGCTCTTCTACGGGCAAATAACATTTTTTTTAAATTTTTTTACAATTTTTGGGATCAAAGAAAATCTTTTATTTTCGTAGTTAAACAAATTTAAGGGATCAGAAATGGTCCATTTTTGAACCTCACAATTTTATTTGAGGGCTTCTCTCATGTTTAATCCCCCTTCAAGCTAACAATGGAAGGACAATAGACAGCTAATTTTTACTCCTACAATTTTTGGACTTGCTTCCGTCTTTTTACCATAAAAAGAGGAACACTTTTCAAGGCCAAGAACAAAACCAATTTTTAAAAAATTAGAAAAAAAATTAAAACTCACAGCAACCTCCTCATCCTCATCAGACCAATCATCGTCAAAATCATCATCAAAAGAGGGAGCTGTTCGGTCAGTACTACTTTCTGGAGGTTGATTTTGGTTGTTTTTGAAACCAAATGTTGAAGCTACGAAAAAAATCAGTAAAAATTTAAAAAAATTTTTCCCACTTTGCCCAAATTTAGGATCATCCCAAGGGTCAAAAGCTGGTGCAGAAGGTTCTTGTTGAATTGTTGGATAGAGTGAAGGGGTATTTGTTGTTGTTTTTGTTGTAGTTAAAGGAGCGGTAACTGGCGGAAGTTCATATATTGCTGGCACATTAGAAGGTGGAGGATTATTTACTTGGGGTAGAGGAGGGGGTGCTGAAGGCGGCGGTCCCCCTGTCGTTGTTGCTGTGTTCTGAAACAATAAAAACATTTTAAAAGGAAAAATCAGAAACGCTTGAATCTTAATGTTTTAATTAAATTCTGATTTTTTTATTAAATTATGTTCACTTTAATTTCTGATTTTATTTTGCTAAATTTCTGATGTTTTTAATGAATTCTGACTTTTGTTTAATTCTGATTTTATGTGTTTATATTAAATTCTGGTTTTGTATTTGTTAAATTTCTGGTTGTGTTTAAAAATTAATTCTGATTTTTATTAATTATGTTCATTTTAATTTCTGATTTTATTTTCTAAATTTCTGATGTTCTTAATAAATTCTGATTTTAGTTAAATTTCTGATTATGTTTTTAACAAATTCTGATTTTCGTATTAAATCATGTTTATTTTAATTTCTGATTATGTTTTTATTAATTTCTGATTTTTGTCTTTATTACTTGTTATTGTTTTTATTATGTTTTTATTTGTTTGTTTGAGACGAGAAAAACACACAAATATTAAGATTTTAATGAGAACAATGTTTGACTTATTATTAAGGAAAATTAAGGGGAATTTTAAGTTAAAATTTCTCCAAATATCAATCCCCATTAAATAAACCAAAAGTGCAGGCATTAATGAAGTAGTAGCAACATGTTGTGCTACTCCATAAATAGCAGTAAATTTAGGTTGTGAACGTCGTCTATGGGTTATAGACCGGCGTAGTAAAGCTGTTGCGGAGGTAGAACGAGGGGTTGTTAAAGAAGAAATTAGAGGAATACAAAGACTTCCTCGAGGTGTTGATGTTAATGATTTATTATTTTTGTTGAGTAAGAGTTCTGTTGAAGCAGCGTCTAATAAATGGACACGGCCAACAAATTGACAGCCTAATTAATTACAAAGGGAAAAATAGAGGGAAATAGGGGAGGTTAATACGCAGCTTAATAAAATTGTCAAAAGAGGAACTAGAAAGCTGAAATTTTGTGGGGATATAGTTAATACTGTTAGATAGCTACTCTTAAAATTTCAGAATTTTTGGTTAACTATTTCAGAAATTCTGGACAAAAAGGTGCCATTTTTAGTCAAGAAAGATATGTTTTAAGCCCATTTTAAGCCTTATTTTTGACCAGAATTTCTGATTAATAATCCAAAAATTCTGAAATTTAAACTTGGGTTAGGTAACACTACTAGGGATAACTAACCATAATTTAATGGTTGTAGCTACTCATTTGACGATCTTATAAGCATGCAAAGTAGGCCTTCTAGGCTCTATAAGGAAAAGGATTTATAGGCCAAAAATCGAAAGAAAAAAAATTTTTTCTTTCAAAAATTAATCCAAAAAAAGGCCAAAAATCCCCAAAAACTCTTGTCAACATTTTCCAACCTAAAGGTGCTAAAAGAGCTGCACCAGTCGAAATTTTTGATGGGTCTAAAACAGAACAAGTATGTCGACGAACTAAAAGTGAACGACGTCGATATTCTTGATGATTGTCGTTATTATTGTAGTTATTTGAAGATGAAGAATTTAAATTAGTATTTTCACCTCCTCGACGAAACGTTGAAGCAAATAACATTTTTTTGAAAAATTCTCAGAAAAAAAATTTTTTTTTGATTGGGGGAATAATGAAGGAGGAAAAAGGTCTGTCTGTTTTGAGGGCATATTTTTTTGATCACCCTTCTTCAGATTGGGTCAAAAATAAGAGCTTAGGGTATAAAGTGATCAAAAAATATACAAGAAATTTAACAGCAGAGGGGTTTCTTATTTATATTTTATGATAGTCCTTAAAGATATAAAGGTAAATGGGGACCCCAAGTTTAAAAATTTTTTTAGAAAATTTTTCAAAATTCCAAATTTAGACTAGTTGCAATTATCGACATCCCCAACCCATCTGCTGCCATACAAAGGAAGAAAAAAGAGACAATAAAGGGCTTGGAGAAGAACTGTCGGTTCTAGGGGATTCTTTGGATATTCAAAACTAACCAAAAAATTTTGGTTAGGTCTAAAATAGGGATGAGTATGGTTGATCTAAACAAAAAAGTTTCTTATTCGGATTGGGTCGAAAAATCAGAGGTTAGGGTCTAGATTAATCTAATCATCCCTGATCCAGAACTGACAATTCCATTAGAAAATAAAAAAAGGAGAGAAACCAAAAAATTTTAATTAGGTCCAAAATAGGGATGAGTCTGGTTAATCAAACACGTCGTTAGCGGGTTTCGTTTTATTCGGATTGGATCGAAAAATAAGGAGTTTAGGGTCTAGAATAATCCGATCCATCCCTTCTCCAGACCTGACAATTCATAAGAAAAATAAAAAAAAGAGAGAAAGTAATTGACCCTAAAATTAATAAATTTGGAAGAAACAATAAAAAAAACTTTTCAAAAAAACTTTAGAAAAAAAGAAGAATCAATGACAATTTAAAATAAAAATCGTGCCAAAAAATTTAAAAAAAAAATTAAGAAAAGGGGGACAAAGTTTTGTAAAGGACAACAGGAAGTTCCTCCTCCTCCCCAAGGGAGAAAGTAACCAAAAATGTCAACAAAAAAAAAAGCTATCAACTTCCTTTTAAAGAGCAAAAATGATGAAATAATTTTTAAAATAAAAAAGAAGTTCGTCACGATATTTTTTAAGATTGAAAAAATTTAATAAAAATAATTAGACAATTTTTACAGAAAAAAGGGGAAAGATGACATTTGGTCCAAATTTTGATAAATTAATTTTTTTTCAATTTTTTTGTTAATTTATATTAAAATTTTAATTATAAAAATTAAAAACCCAACGTGAAATAAAACCCACAGGAAATTTTCAGTTAAAATTAATTTTAAAAGGAAAAAGTGACATTTGGTCCCACCCCAGAATTTTAATTTTTAAAGTAGTTAAAATCTTTTTAAGGGTAATTTGGATAGCTGAACATGAATTTGAACTTTATTTTGTCTAAAATTAAATTAGCAAAAAAATAATGAAAAAAATGAAAAATAACAATGAAATTTATGAGAGAGATGACATTTGATCCCAAAGATTAAAGGGGGAGTAGAAGGATGGGAATTTATTAATTTTCTGTTTAAATTATAGATATTCTCAAAAATAATTTTAAAAATAAAAAAGAAAAAAGAAAAATTGAATAAAATCAACATAATTGGACCAAGTCAATCGAAAATTATAAATAATTAAAAGGTTGAAAAATAGTCTTAAAAAATTCGAAACTAATTCAATCAAAAATAGATATATTACATTAATTTCAATTTTATTAGACTAATATTGTTAAGGATACGTTTAATTTAAAGAAAATTGGTCATTATTGACAAAAATAAAGAAAATTTGGGAAAAATTATCAAAAAATGACATTTGATCCCAAAGGTTTACAATTAAAATAAAAAATGAAAATAGCCTTCAAATTATATAACCCAAGACTAAATAAAGTTCAAATTCAAGTTCAGCACCCAAAATAAACCCAAGAAAAGGGTCCAAGTAACTTTAGAATTAAAAACTTGAAAGGGCATGGGATAGAAAATTAGGCCGATTTACTCGAAAAGACCAAAAAAATTCCTCAAATCATCCTTATAGACTTAAAAATAAAAAATAAAAAAAGAAACCTTGGACATAAGCATTTTAGACACATAACTTGCCGGAACTAGACCAACTTTTCCTTTAGAGTTGCGAACTTCAATCCAACCGCCATCTATTCCCTTAAATTAAAAATTTTATGGAGAACAAAGGGAGAGGCTTCTAAGGGCTTTTAAAGCCTATTAACCCCTCTATCAACCCCCCAAACCACAAAAAAAACCCAAAAAAACCTCTTTCAGAACAGTCACAATTTCTCCCGATTTAATTGTAAGTTCTCCACTTGCTGGCTGGGCGTCAAAGTCAAATTCAACTTTTGCTTGAGTTTGTGACATTAAAGTGTTTAGAGACAACTAAAATTACTAGAAAATAAAAAAAAGTCAAAAAAACACCAAAAAAAAGTTAAAAATTAATCCCAAAAATCCCCAATAAATCTATTAGTCATTTACTTAAGGGAGCCAACTAGGCGCGCGGCCTTAACGGCGCAAAGCCATAACTTGCTTGAAAATTTCTGGCCCATAATAATTTTGGTACCATTCTCTTTAGCTCAATGAGAGGAATCGTTTAATACCAAATTTGGTAAGATTCGGAAAACTTGAAGCAAGTTATGGCTTTGCGCCGTTATGACCGCGCGCCTACTTGGGCTGTACCCACCTTAAGGAATTATAGACACACAATTTTAGTGTTCACAAAAAATAAGAGAGACAGACAAGTTTACAGACTAACAGAGAAAGTTAGTGAAGAGAGAGATTTTACTATTGACAGAAAAACAAAATAACTACATACATTTCGCCAATCTGTGAAAAAATAGACAATTTGCCACAAAGAAGAAAATACGACATAATGCCAACAAGTATGGAAATTGCCATTTTGTCACCAAGTGAAAGAGTGTTAATACAGGCGAATTAACATGCCCAAATCCACGACAATAGATAAATTGATTTTAAGGATAAGGAAAGAGGAGGGAAGGGAGGGGAGGGAAGGGAGAGGAGGGGAGGGGAGAAGGGATTTTTAATTTCCTCTCATTATTCAATTCTTTTTCTTTAATTTTTTAATTGTCTTTATTGCCAGGGATGATTTTTAATTTTTAATAAGAATAAATTTTTTTTAAATTAAAAAACTATAGTTGTTAAATTTATTAATTTTTGTTGTTTTTCTATTATTTTTAAAAAATTTTTGGTTCTACTTGACTTTATGAGTCCAACAACGAAAAACGACAACGAAAAACGCAGCAAAATTGTTGAAGAAATCAATTCTTTAAATTTTGACAAAATTTCAACAGAAATGGAACAAGACAAGACTACACCAAATTGGGCGAAATTAATTATTGGACAAATGGGCTCTCTTCTGAAAATTGCAGCAAACCTACTTAATGAACAACAAAATTCTTATGGAAATTTTGAACTTCATTTGCAAAAACAACAGCAACAATTGGAGGAAAACGAGCGACTTCACAGCATAGTAATTACTGGAATGGAAGAAAGTTATGAGTCCAATCGAACATTATGAGTCCAATCAAAGTTTATGAGTCCAAACAAAACTTTATGAGTCCAATCAAAATTTATGAGTCCAAACACATTTTATTAAATTATATTAAATAATAAATTTATTAAATAATACGTAAAAAAAGAATAGATTTATGTTGCTAACCCTATGGAGCGTAGGCGAGGCGCTTGTGCAAAACCCCGCGCTTCGCGCGGGGTTTTGCGGCACGCGCTTCGCGGGAGTCAACGGCCGCTGGGTTCTACAACAGTAACATAAACCTACCCCTTTTGCATTTTCAGCCATGATCTGACGACCTAACTCCGTAGCTCACAAAAATCTGATTGGACTCATAAAATATGATTGGAATCATAAACTGTAGTAGAGCCACAATTTTTACTTAGAATAATAAGACATGTCGGATTTATAAAATTTGTTTGGCTCATAAACTTTTGTTTGGACTCATAAATTTTGATTGGACTCATAAATCTTGATTGGACTCATAAAGTTTTATTTGGACTCATAAAGTTCGATTGGACTCATAATCTTCGATTGGACTCATAAAGTTCGATTGGACTCATAAAGTCAAGTAGAACCAAATTTTTTGCCTTCTAAAATTGTGGGAGAAAAAAATTTTTTTAATAAAATAAAATATTTCTTCCCTCTATTTTTAACGTCACCAAATAATTATTTTTTAAATTAAATTTAGAGTTTATAAAAATGTTTTTATTTTTTCTTTTAATTTTTTGTCAAAATGTTGACTATGTAAACTCTGGAATTATAAATTGTAAAAATTATTTTTTAAATTATTTTTTTTTAAATTTGGCCTGGAAAGACAGCAGATAATTTTATCTCCCCCAATAATACCTGTTGAACATTAGCAACCATAACTCGAAAAATACATGACCAAAAATTTTGAAATTTTCGGGGAAATTAGATATCCCTTTAAAGGCTAATTATGCAAAATTTCAAGTTTTTAACTTGATTTTAAACGGTTTTATGGAAGTGCACGCCCAAACCCCTCTGCGCCCAAACATGCCTTTAAGTTTTAAATTTAATTTTTAATTTAAGCCACTACGAGATATATAAATGAGCAATCTTTTTTATTTTCTCCTCACAATTTAACATTAACACTAAATTTATTGGAATATCATTTTGATGAGTTATTTGAGGAAAGAAGCCTTTTTGATATAAATTATAATCACAAAGCTGGGAAAATTTTAGAACAAATTACTCTCATTTCTCAATTTCATTTGTTATATTCATCGATGAAGCATTGTAAAAAGACCCTCGAGAGAATGAGGTTGTTATTATTCTAGTACCTTACTTGTTTGTTTGTGTGTTTTTGTATTTTGCCTTTGTGTTTTCTTAGCTTTGTGTTTTCGATTTTCGTGTTTTTGCATTTTTTTTTTGTGTCTGTGTTTTTGTGTTTTTTGGTGTTTTGTGTAAATGTTTTTGTGTGTTTGTGTTTTTTGGTGTTTCTGTGTTTATGTTTCTATTTTTGTGTTTTTTTGTGTTTCTATTTATGTGTTTCTGTATTTGTGTTTTTTTGTGTTTCTATTTTTGTGTTTCTGTATTTGTGTTTTTTCGGTCTTTGTATTTGTGTTTTTTTGTAATTTGTGTTTTTCCTTTAATGTTAACCTCTTTTAAGGCTTAAGGATAAAGATTTCTATTTATATATAAATCCAAAGAGAGGTCTTTGCAAATTAATTAATATGCGAAGAACACTTGTCGATCTTTTGATAAAAGATGAGAATGTTAATTATAAAGTAAGGGAAATAAAAAGTTGTGATTTAAACGAATTTGCCGAGGAATTTGTTGAGAAAAACAGAGAAGAATTACAAGAAGCTAATTTTATTGTTTTTTATAATTATTTAATTCTTAAAAGAGAAAATTTTTTGGAAAGACTTGGGTATATTAAATATATATTTAAATATTTTTTGTTTGTATGAAAGGAAAGGAAAAAAATTAAATGCATTAAAAAGCATATATAAATTCTCCAAGAGTGGATACATATATGCTCTTACATACAGGGTTTAAGGCAGTGTCACCTGCCGGGGCCGATCCAGAATGGGAAATCGAATTGTGAATACCAACAGAAATCCGTGTCAGGTGTTTTCATTGGTGGAAGGACACTGACACTCGGTAGAATACTCAAGGCATTCGACACGGATGTCTTGTGGGAGCCTCCCTCCCATTTAAGATAACCTAGTTATAGTGTACATTTCCCCCAGGAGTATTTTATAGTGTGGACCGATCTTGTATAAATTTAAATTTTGTTTTTAGTGGTTATTACTCCTCGTGGAATGCCCACAGACCTACTAAATTAGAAGAACATTTTGAACACCTTTTTGGATATGCTCGAATGATTTCCTTAAAAATATTTATTTTCGAACGAGAATTAATTTATTCTGAAGAGAAAAGAATGTCAATTTATTTGAAACTTTATAAGGAATATTTTACTAGAGGAATTATTGGTAGATGGCATGTCTTGACACCACTTAAATTTTTAATTTATCAAGACTGGCAAATGGAATATACTGTAAAAGGTGGGCTTAAGACCGTCTTATAAGGAAGGGACAGATCAGGCCTGGAGTAGCTCAGTTGGTAGCGCACCTGTACTTTTATGAGTGAAGCTCCATAACTGTCACATAAAGCGGCAAACGTAATGCGGAAACTAAAGGGTAAAATAAAGCAGACCCATCCCAGCAGCATCCCTGATAAGGTCCGGTAATAAAATAGAATGAGGTGTGTGTTCAATTAGATCTCTCAACTTCAAAGTGGACTTGGAACTTCAAATGGGACTTAGAGTTGATCCTTACTTTTTTTGGCAAAAAAATTTTTTGTAGATTCTGATTTGGGTTTAAAAGATTTCTGGGAAGAACTTGATGCCATTTATTGGCTTGGAATTTATAATGAAGTTATAATTACTGATGAATTTGTTAACAAAAATTCACCTAAGATAGAAGACAATGAACCAATGTTTAAAGATTTTAACGTAAGTGGATTTATTATTCTACCTAAAAGGGTATATATTTCTTTAATCATCGATCAAATTTAATAGAATTGAATATGTTCCGGTTTTTCGGTAGATCTCTCCATGGGTCGATTAGATCTCTTAACTTCAAAGGGAGTTGGTAACTTAAGGACATATTTATTCTTTTTTAGAAAATTTATTTAAATCCAAAAGATTTTGCCAAACTTAAATTGTCAAAACAATTAATATTCCAAGAAGCAAAAAAATGTTATGAAATTGAAGAGGAAAAGAAAAAAGAAAATGAAAGGGAAAAACAAAAAGAAATTAAAAAATCAAAAAAATCTGACCCTCCAATCAAAATACTCCGCTATGGGACACGAAAAAATTTGGCAGCTTGCTTACAAGAAAGAATGAGTAAATTTGAGGAATTTACAGAAGAAAATTTAATAGAGCAAGCAAAAATGATAACTGGGAATTTTGTAAAAATAATAAAATATTTTAGAAAGAAAAATGCTGATAGTAAAGAACAGGGGTGAGCGCATTGCGTTTTGCGTTTTGCGTTTTGCGTTATTTGCGTTAAATTTTGGCCTTGCGTTGCGTTTTGCGTCTTGCGTTATTTTCGATGAAATTAACGCAAAAAATATATCCAATCTGAGGACAAAATTAGAGAAATCTGGCTTAATGGCCTTCCAAAATTCTAAAAATTTTCGCCTGCGGCGCTAAAAAATGAAGAAATTTTGCTTTCTGGCCTTCCAAAATTCTTAAAATTTTCGCTTGCGGCGCAGAAAATGGAGGAGGGATAAAGTGGCCAAGTGGAAAATATCGGAGGAACTGAAGTGATAGAAGACTATCGGTCGATTTACTGCGATTAAGGTTGATTTAAAAAGATATCGGGGGTTTGTAGGGATATCCTGCTATATCTCTGCAACCCCTGATAACTACTATATGCTCAAATCCCTGTTATTATTCTAATCTGAGGGCAAAAATTGGAAGAAATCTAGCTTCTGCTTTCCAAAATTCTCAATATTTTTGCCTGCGGCGCTAAAAGTAGGGTATTTAAATATTTAAATACCAATTTTACATCTTGAAACGGCTCAAAAAATATCGGTTCATTATCTGGAGCTCAGATCTCAAGTTATCCTCCAAATTACCTGATATCCCCGGAATCAATTTATAAATACTGATAGCCCTTTATCCTCCGTTATCTCCCTAGCTCACTCGACATCCTTTAGTAATCCCATGGGATCTTTTTAAATTTACTTGATCGCTCCAAATTACATGATAATCTGCGTAATCCCCAGCCACTTCGTTAACCACCTTGATCGTTCTAAATCCTCTGATATCCTTCATAATCCCTCTAAATCCTTTATCTCTCTCCAAAACATTACTCATCCAACTTACTTGTACCTCAAACTTAATTATGACTCGCTAACTTATAGTAATACATCAATTTTTAACTGAAAAATGGCTAATACTTAATTTAAAAAATTTTTTTCTCAATTTTGCGTTCTTGCGTTTTGCGTTTTGCGTCTTGCGTTATTTGCGTTAAATTTTGGCCTTGCGTTGCGTTTTGCGTCTTGCGTTTTTTGAGATTGTCTCTTGCGCTCACCCCTGGTAAAGAATATAAAGAAATTATTAGTTTATTGAAGGAAAAATGTAATTTTTTTAATTTAAAGGGTTTGACTGAGAAATAGTACATAAGTATTATTACAATTTGTAAAATAGGCGGAATTATTAATTTTTACAATTTGTAAAATAGGCGGAATTATTAATTTTTACAATTTGTAAAATAGGCGGAATTATTAATTTTTACAATTTGTAAAATAGGCGGAATTATTAATTTTTACAATTTGTAAAATAGGCGGAATTATTAATTTTTACAATTTGTAAAATAGGCGGAATTATTAATTTTTACAATTTGTAAAATTTAATTTCTCTCTTCCGGAATTTTTTTACAATTTGTAAAATTAATTTCTCTTCCGGAATTACTTTTAAAATTTGTATGAATTAATCAATCCCTTCAGGAATTATTTTTACAATTTGTAAAAATTACAATTTGTTTTTACGATTTTACAATTTGTAAAAAATTGTAAAAAATAGATTTTACAATTTGAGAAAATAGGCGGAATTATTTATAAAAATGTTCCGATGCTTTTACAATTTGTAAACTAGGTATAATTATTAGTTCTGGAATTATTCAACTCAAAAATTTATTGAATTTCCACAGGGTTGCCATTCTCAGATTATAAATTTCTGTAAAAAGATCCATAAGATAATTTTGATTGGCGGTACGACAATTGCGGATACGCACGTGCGGATGCGACGATTGCGGATATAAAATTTTTAAAAAGTTTAAGCTTTTTTAAAGTTTTAAGTGCAACATCAGTCTAAAAATGATTCGGAAACCGTCACAAGTCGGAAACTGCCAACCGGGACTAAAAAACGGAACATCATTTCAATCATTTTTAAAATTAAAAAAAATTTTTAATCCGCAATTGTCGCATCCGCACCTGCGTATCCGCAATTGTCGTAACACCTTTTGATTGATAAATAAAATTTAATTTTAGCAAAGTTAATAGCATATATAACAAAAGAATTAACAAACCATACTCCTGAAGCGATACTTGATCTTGTAGAGGGAATAAAAGGGAAAGAAGCAACATATGGGGAAAGTTCAAGTTCGAGTAGCACCAGGGTAGAAGAAAAACATGGAGAAATTGAGGAAATCAAAGAAGAATCGGTTTTGATGGAAGAAGGTATTAATATGGAAGAAAGTATTAAAAATGAGAAACAAGAAGAAGAGGTGAAGGGATTGGAAGAAAATAAAGGTAAAAATATTATTGAGGAAGAAAACATTGTTGAGGAATGCGAAGAAAAGAATGAGGAGGAAAACTTGAGCGTTGGTAAACAAGGTAATTGTTAAACAAGATACCTAATTGTCTTTTAAATCCATCTCAATAAATTAAGAAAACCAGGCGAAATTTTTCCGGAATTCTTTTTACAATTTGTAAATATCATATTTTCTCGATTAATTCCCCTCCCTCGATTAATTTACCCTGCCAAAGATAGGTTAAAACAACAATTCCCCACCCCTAAATACACTACTGCACGTCCAAATGTCAGAACTCGAATAATTCCCCTCCCTCGATTAATTCCCTCTGTCAGAGATAGGTTGAAACAATAGCTCCCCAAGGGAATTAATCGAGAAAATACGGAAGTTAAAGTCGGTTTACGGAATTCTTTTTACAATTTGTAAAATCAAAACTTAAAATAATTTTTAGAGCAAATACCTACTCAGTTAAAGAAAAAAGATGTAGTTGTAATACATCCTATAAAGAAAGATTCTCGAAAACAGTACCAATCAAGAACAGTCACTGTCGGGAGACGGGCTTCCCGACAAATTGGATTTTTAGGATCGTGGCACCAGACTGTGTTGGTTGTGCCAACACAGTCAAATAACAGAAGGAGAACAGTAAGTGAACCTCGAGGCGGTTCACTTTTCCACTCAAACAAAATACAACGACAAGTCAACAATAAATTTACTTCTTCCACAAAAAATAATAGCCAAAAAAACAGAGCAGTAAAATAAATCGAGCACTAATTAAACAAAGGTAGAAGCCGCGGATCAGCCAACCAAAAGATGAGAGTTGAAATTGAAAACTGGAAGCGGTTGAAAGTAAAAACTGGAGGTGAATGGTAATTTTTGGGGGGCTGATCCTCGGCTTAAATAGAGATTAAAAGAGGGCGGGTCTTGGCAAAAAACTCAAAAAATGCGAACTTGAAAAATAATGCTTAATAGATTATAGAAAACCAAATGTGTAGAGAGAACGGGGCAGAGAAGACAATCGGAAAAAACAATAGGAAAAATTTAAGTTGTGACAGGCGCAAACTGTCACTAAAAAATAGAGAGAAAAAATTTTGGCGGGAAAAAGGTTTAAAAAGATTGAGTGGACAATGAAAAAAATAAAGGGTGAACGGCTAAAAAATTAACGAGGAGTGAACGGGGGACAATTTAAAAAAGAGACAATTCAATGAAAAGTCGCCAAAATTGGCGACACTCCCCCCGGCCTAGAAAAATCCCCAAAATCATAACAAAAAAATAAATATTCAACCATCCCGTTTTTCTTCATTCTTGGGCCATATTGAAGAACCAGACGGAAGATTTTGAGCCATGTAGAGAGCTGTGGATGTGAGAAGGTGCATGGCAGTTTGACGTGTTGTTTCATTAGCATTTAATAATAATGTGGCTGGGTTGGGCAGGCTAGAGACGATATTGATGGAATGACCCCGCACTATAGACAGTTTGATCGGGGGTGGTGGTGGATTCTTCTTTTCTTTAACTACGATTAGGTCGTCGGTGCTGGTCGCTACATTACGTTGTTTTGCATGATGGCGGTGGTGGTGACGCGTCCTTTCGCTACTACCCCTTTTTTGAGACTTTGGTGAGGGGCGACGCTCTACCAGCGGACTATCTCGTCGTCGACGTTGTCTCTCTGATGAACGACTTTTACGATGACGGCTTGGTGATTTACTTTCCTTTCGTTGTTTTTTCTCCGGTAGAAGTGCTGCCAAACCCACTCTATCTTCTTCAGCTCTCTTCAAATAAAAATCTGCGGTTCGTAGTGCTGCTGCCTTTTCTTTACGCAATAGCTGTGTTGTTTTCGGATCACGTTCTGTAAGTCCTCCTTTGTCAGGCAGTTTTGAGAATGTGCGATAACGCCAACCAGGACCTTCTTCGATAGCTTTCAATCTTTTTTCTTTAGAGTCCGTTGTTTCACCTCTCCTCTTCAACACTTTGACGGCTGCACGATGCGCGGTTTTAGCTGCTTCTAGTCGTTTGGGGTCACGAGCCAATGCTGCGTTTTCTTCATTTAATTTTCGATTGCCCTCAATTGCTGCCATTGCAAGTTGAGAAGGTTTAGTCTTAGCATCCCGAAATCCACGTTTTCGATCTCGATAAGATTTGAGTCGTTTTTTGTCGTTGATTTGTCGTTCACGCTCTATAGAAAGTTGTTGACTGCTGCTTTGTTTCTCGCTTGGTGGGGTCGCTTGTCCGTTGTCTGATTCACTAAAAATTAAGCCTTCATCCTCTTCCGGTGCCTCTTGTCGTTCGTGTTGTTGGTCGCTACTAACATTTTCTTCTTCCAGCTCTTCCACCACTTCATTAGTTGTTAATGCCAATCTTTCACGAAGTCGATTTATAGCCCATTTTGCTAAGTCCTTTTGGTCAACACTTCCACTAGAACTTAAATCAGCGTCTACACAAGCCAGTTCTTCCAACGGGTCACATCCTGGGGCACTGGTTATGAGTTTTGCAGCTTCCCGCATCACACCTTTCTTTAATTCTTGATCCATTTCACGTGTTGTTTCCACTGGGGCCCGTTCATTTTCCAAACTATGTTGTTGTTGTTTCTCTTGTTCCGGTTGTTGTGTTTTTATAAGGTTGGCGATGGCTTCTTCTTCCTCTAAAGCGGCTTGTTGATTTTGTTGTTGCACACTACCAGATTTAATCTTCTGCTGTTGTCTCCATTCCGAAAAATAAGGACACGCTTTATCACACGCTCGATGCCCATGAGGCTGCGGCACTCCCTTGCTGACACATGATGAACACCGTGTTGTTTTAGAAGGTGGGGTACTAGTCACTGTTGTCGAGGCTTTTTCTTTAATTGGTGCTGGTTCCATCGTTACTGATTGTAGAAATTTTAAAGTATTATGGCTAATTTTCAGATTATATAGAGCGACTTTTTCCATCACTTCACAATAAGGAGGCGGGGATGAAGATAGGTTACGTAACCTTTCTTTTAATCGGCGCAAGTTCAATTCAAAAGAAAATTTTATTGCCAAGCAGGTGGCTGGTGCAAAACTATCCAAATCAATGGCCAAGTTGAGCAGAGAAGACTTCTCCTTTTCTTTGTTTAAGCATAAATTAAAAGGGAACGTTTCTTTTGTATTTAGGGCCAAAAAATGAAAATTTTTCAAGTTTGGTGTGTCGATGACAAGCACATTTTCTTTTTCTCTTTTAGCTAGGCCAAAGAATTGCAATAATCGAGTGGCAAAGTCACCAGAAATAATTGACGAAAAAATGATGGGGGATCGGTTAAAGTTTAACTGTCGGTTGTAATCCTCCCAATTTAGACCCACAAACTGATATATAGATCCATAAACTGATATATATTGATTGGAGGAGTTGTAAAAAATAATCAAGAAATTGAGTCTTTTATCCATAGAGTAGCTTTTATTGTGTTCTATGCAGGAATCTATTGCATAATTGTGAGTTATCAGAGCTTTTATTGTGACTGGCTGTTTAATTACTTTCGATTTTAGTTTGTTCCTTTTGCACCCCGCAGTATCACTAATTTTTCCTCTAGCAGTCGCGGTAATTCCAGCTTGGTAAACACACCGGAACCTTCCAGCGGCCAAAAAGCTCATAATTTGGACCTCTGTTGCAGCCGCGGTAATTCCAGCTTGGCTAATAGATAGGATTTTTTCAGCGGCCAAAAAGCTCGTTTTCGAATGATTTGTAGCAGCGGGTGTGGGTGACCAGATAGTTGATACCAAGGCTACTATTACAGTCGAAGCAAGTAAGTCACGTTGCTGTTGGGCTCTGCGTTCTCGTTGCCTGGCGCATTCCCTCAATATTGTCAGACCGAAATTCAGCACGAACAGAGCCACCAAGACAAAATATGCTAACAATACAATTCCATCGGATAGTGTATTTTCAGGTTTATTTTCAAGGTTTGAAATTTTCAGTACTTTATGATGTGCGTGACTTTCCTGAGCATGTCCGCCGCTAGTAACCATAAGTAATAACATCGCCTTCGTAAATTTCGTTACATTATCAGGTCTATGACCTTGTTGCAGAAAAAGCCAAGCTGCCAGCTTATAGGCTCGGTAAATTGGTGAGAATTTGATAGCCACGTACAGCGCGAATAGTCCAACTACCAACGCAAACACACACATAAGTAAGAGTGGTACACTAGCCCATAGTCGAATAATGGCGAACGGGTCGAAACTAAAGTCCATTGGCCAATTCCAGCCTTCATCCGGTTCAGTTTCCAATCGCTCGGACAGCCTCTGTTTATGTCCAAATTGTCGTTTAAGCGGGATATAGTGTAGTTCAGCAGAAATGTTAAAGGACGTCTCGCCGGCTGGACAGTCAACCATACAATTACTAGCGATTAAGGACCGGTCAAATGGTAAAACTATCATTTTCTCTGTGTTATTGGTGTTGCATTGAGTGGCAAATACTACACCATCGTCACATTCGACTTTAGCAAGGGCAGTTCCCCAATCCGTACGACATTTATAACGCAGTTGCGCACCCGTAGGGCACTTGTAACAGCCAACCAATGAGATAGGTTCGATCCAACATTTTGAGTCCCGGAATTCCAAAATAAGTTGTAGGTCTTTCATTTGCACATGAAGTTGAACTGGGCTGTAGGAATGTTCGGCATAGATAGCTGGGCCTTCATTGTACACATAAACTTTAGCAACGGTGATGGGCAAGCGAGCCATAGGGTTCTCAAGTATTCCCTCAACATCCACATCCTGACAGTGACACGAAACAGATCCTTCCTCATGGTTTGGTTTACAGTCTTTACAAGTGTCGATATCCAACGTGCAATTGAATTGTCTAGCTGCATCCTCGTCAGCACAATGTAAGTGAGTCGGAATGTGTTGAATTAAAGCCGTTGCTCTACCATTAGTGATAAACCGATTGCTTAAAGTAGGCATAGGTGGTAATGAAACAGAAAGTGGTGTAATTGAAATATTTCCCCAATTCGATGTCATTCCAGGTCGTAGGACTAGCTCAGTATTCCATGACTTTCCACCAGTAAGTTCAAGTCGTAGGTCGACGGGGAACGTTACATCCCATGCTGGACAGCTCACAACTTCAAACGGTGGTCGAGAGGTTGTTCGTGCATACCAGCGGTAGTAAAGACAAGCGGAGGCAGGTAGTCCACATTGATTTTGCCAAAAACTTGAACTGTCCACACAAAAGCTCTTTCCGGGGAAGTTGTTGACTTCTTTCAGTTCAGGAATTAACGAGTCGGTTGTTACCTCGGAGCAATAATTTCCACGACACGATCCGGCAGTAGGGCAACGTTTTATTGAGGAGACTTTCATTTCATAGGAACGCAACCAAGCCTCTGACTTTTGCAAACATTCCATCCTTGTTGCGTGGAAGGTAGTGCTAAGTACGCCTAAGGCCAGTCCATGTTCGTCTTTCAGCAACAGATTAGACGTTTGTCCGGCCGGTAAGAGAGTGAGTGTCGTAGCAGAGCGAATGGTACAAACTAGGCCATGAGCCGATCTTAGACAGCTTTCTGATTTGGTGACAATAGAAACAGTCTCTGATCCCGTACAAGTGTCAGTTAGAATCAAAGCAAGAGCAATAATAGCTAACAACCAATCAAATCTTCGCATCCTTTGATCCCGGAAGCGTCGAAAGCCAGTTTGAACCGAAGTCACTTTCCTTTTGACTGTTCTAATTCCTGTTCTTAAATTAGCTGTTGATTGACTTCTACCCGCGCCTGGTTGTCCTCGATTATTGAACCAATTAAAAGCAAGTGCAGGGCCTGCGGTAATCCACGCCAATAATTGACAAACAAGTTTGGCTCCTTTGGTCATTCGTCGGAATAGTGTCCATATAAATCCAAGTAGGCTCAGCACAAGTGCAATTGAGAGTCCAATGATTATCATAGCTGTTTGCGGACGACACGTTGGGTTTGTAATTAAGTCCCAACAGAAAGTACATTCGATCAGCAAGCATTCATCCACTGCAGGGCAACGTTGTTCGATCTCCGTTGAGTTCTCTGAGTTGTACCAGAAGTGTCCCGTGCAGACGTAATCATTAACCAGTGTTTCTATCGGTAGCTCGAAAACAAATCTATTTGTTGCTGCTCGCACCCAGCAGGATCCCATACAACAAATTTCAGTCTTTTGAATGTTAGACGGGCTGGTGACGATAACTCCCTTAGTGGTACACAGGACGTGGCTGGTGATATTTGCCTCTACCAGAGGGTAGGCGAATGCAATAAAACAAGTTAAAGCCAAAGTTCCCATTCTTGCTTGTGCTCTTGTAATCATTTTGTGACAAGGTGGCTTTGGTAAGTTAGAATGTTTTTCTTTGAGCTTTTTAGTTCGCTGAGTTGATGGTTCCTTCACAGTGTCAGGCGTGGGTGTCATTGCAATTTCAACATTGTTACTCGCCTCTAGTGGACATAAACGGTTGATCGGTCGGGTTAGTGTTTTGCCATTCGCCATCAACACCTTGGCGCTTCTAATATTGGGTTCTCGACCATTTAATTCGGTAATTCTTCCCAAGCACCACAAATTGCGAGGACGCAGGTCTTCTTCTATCAGCACCACATCACCAACCATGGGTATAGATTTATCTTGACATCGAGGTCCACGGTGTGTCCATCCTGCTCTCTCACGCAACACAAGCAAGTATTCCTTGGTCCAACGAGTCCAGTAATATTCAACAGCTTCCTGAGTGACACGCCAAAGGTTTGCCAACTTTTCATGGGAAGGTAAAC